AAATCAAGTTCAGTCCTCTCTCTCACATGTAAGTGTGCATGCCGCAGACACATTACCACAACGTAAACATAAGTGCATGACAACGCCACGAACATGTTGGGTTCTACTTAGGCTAACTTCTATACAAATTCCATTTAGCATGCATTTTATTACACTATTTAAGTGTTTGTGACAATAAAATAGTTTTTGTTGAATCAACAAAATCTTTTCACAAACATGACATAGGCTGTATAAACTAGTCTCCATTGTTAACTCTATGACTGACTGTCTACTTTATGACAGATACAGTAAACAACGTTTATAAGACCACGCTTATAACAAACTGACGAAAATAATGCACTATTTCTTCAGTCTCTGCCATTTGCTGTATATTTCATCAAATAAAATGAATGGAAGCGAACACGCCTATAACGAAATAACGGATAGAGCGAACTCGCTTTGTGGTCCCATTTGTACTGTCAAAGACAATGCTTTTGTTTATAAGGAACAGGTAATCTGAACTGTTCACGTGTCACCAATCACTCTATCAATACATCCGGGGCCACGCATGGCTGTCCAAAACAGCAATAAACAATTGAAGGCAAGTAATTAACTGGATTTAGTACTGACACCTTGTCCACAATCAACACCCTCAATTAACAAGAGTAAAACAGTCATTAGACTATAGCCTTTGAAGTGGGTAAATTCTGTCTTTAAATGTGAAGACTTCGGAGGAAATTCAGTCAAATGCTTATAACGAATTACGGTTATAACAAACTAAAATTAGTGGTCCCTTTGAGTTCATTGTAACTGTAGTTTACTGTACTTCACTCACATTGTCATTTTGTTCAGTCTTGTCCCTGGTCACTCCATACCTACTTCTCAAGGGAACCTTAACTTCCTTTGAGTAGTATACATATGATATACCTGCGATGACTTGTTTGTTTGTTTGTTTGTTTATTTGTTTGTTATGTTACATGTTTTCATGCTTCAGTCAGCAATATTTCATCAGCATCATGACACAAAATATTTTAGTGTTTCCTTTTTATCAATAGTTTTTTATGCATCTTAAAGGTCTTATGGCCATATTGGCAGGTATTGTTCACATCAATCAGAATATCTAGTATTTTATTTTTATTTTATTTTTCCTTCTTTATTCATCACAGCAGGTACAGCATATATATACATGTCATGTCAAGAAATTGAGGTACATGGTGTTTGAGAAGTGTAAAACTATTTATACATTTAAATTCCTGTCTCTAAAGTCAAAGTGTCATACTCACTATGTATTGCAGATTGGTTTTAAAAACAAAGTGTGGAAGGAAGGCCAGAAACTAAAAAAGTTTTCATAGTTACAAATTGTAAATGACAAATCTAGTATTTTATTTGCGGTACAAAGTGTGGCAATTAAATAATCATCAAGCAATTTCCCATGTCATTGGGGACACGTAGGCTGACATTGAAACAGCTGACCTGACAACGTGATTTAATTGCATGTCTCTAAGACAGGCAAGACATTTTCTAACCCAATCAGGTCCAAATGAACATCCTGTGACATAATCTTAGGTCTCAGACACCTTTACCGCCTTCAGGGTACAAATCTAACTTGTTATTCATTCTACAATGTTGAGAACATGCAATAATGGCTTCACACGAACCAGTCAAGCAGGTTGTGCTCGGCAAGTAACTGGTCTTGTCAATCTCCATGTTAGGATGTATTGTTAACGTAATGCCCCTAATCCCTGAAATAGTTCAATATCTGTTTTCCCCACGCAAAACATTTCTCCAGACCAGGCCAGAGACAGTCATGCACAAAATGCTTTTTGGGCAAAAGAATAACATGTCGAGTACTCTTGAAATTTCAGTGTCAGTCTGACTGAAAACTAGTTTCAACAACAGTGTCAGAGAAAAGGGGCAGGCATTGTTTATTAATTACACAGAACGCTAAATGGAACTGTCCAACAAAGTACACAGAATGCATTAAACTATGTTTATAACGAACACGCTCATAATGCAGTGACGGATATAATGAACTGTATATTGGTCCAGTCCATTTGCTGTATATATGTGTATATGCTTATAACAAATTATGGTTTTAATGAACTAAAATTAGTGGTCCTTTTGAGTTATAACCGTAGTTTACTGTGTATTCACTGCATTATTATAGTTTACTGTGTATTTCACTGCATTATTAAAGTTTACTGTGTATTCACTGCATTATTATAGATTACTGTGTATTCACTGCATTATTATAGTTTAATGTGTATTCACTGCATTATTATAGTTTACTGTGTATTCACTGCATTATTATAGTTTACTGTGTATTCACTGCATTATTAAATCCATCTGTCAGCTTGCCATGTATTTTCATATTCGTGGTTGTTACTGAGAGTCAATGCTCAGAAATATCATTGGAACCGATGAGGTTAACAAAAGTCATCGCTCATAGTAAATAGCAGTATCTCTCTACTTGAACTTTCAAGGTCGTGAGACAGACATAACATCACGCCGGAATACTATCACAAAAACATGGATTATGTCATATGCTTCCATGATAACTGAAATGTGGGCAAAAAAAACTAAACCAAATTTGCTCTGATAAATATCGACCAAACTTAATATTTAATTGATGTGGTATCCATTTTATCAAGCTGAATGGCAATTTTTTAGTTCAGGATTAAGAAAAAGTGGACTTCCATTCACAATGAATAGTTTTGTACAATCAGTTTTCAATCTTTATTGTTTATTTTATATAATTGAATAAAATTACAAATTAAACTTATGTTTATTCAAAAGATCCAAGAATATATCAATATCAAATATATCTTGTCAAGCAGCAGCTTGTATTGGGATGCATGTGTCATCATGTCGCAGTGGACATATCGTATCCTCTATTTCAGCCAGAAGGAGACCACACAATGTAGTGGGGACTAGCGAGGGTCTAATTCTCCTGTGCAAATACCTCAGCCTGACAGAGGGAGGAAATGGGGAACTATTTCAGGACATTTGTATGCTACTTCATCATCAAGAGCATCAGTTCATTGTTTATTCATGATGTTGACACCAAAATTTAGGGGAGGGGGATTTGTGTTTCTGGTAACGAACCCTGGTCAGATGTGGCTTAGTTACTAGGTAACACAATTATATATATTGTATGCACATGGCTATAATTAAAGATTCTTCAGGGTGGTGGGAGTGTTTATAAAAATATATATAAAAATTTGACACTAGACCTGTGGGTTTTTCCTTTTCATGCAATATCAGCTCATCCAAAAATAGTGTTAGTAGATATTTGTTTCTCCATTTTCTTGTTTAAATGACGGGATAAGCACAACACATTAATCTGGTGGTATAGAAAATGGAAAACATAGGAATGTTCATAAAGCTGCAGTGTAACTCGAGAAAAAACAGAAAAAAGGTTTTGGGTCGTGGACACCAGATTAAAGTCGGTCTAGAAACCAGAAACTCACAAATTTGTTCTTGGCCTTACCATAAACACAAATACATATTCTTTGCCTTACCAGAAATAACATCTTGTAACCATGGCAACCATGACAACATGACATACAGCAACAGATGGTTCATTTCATATCTCAACAAATTGTTCAATTTGCTTAAGTAAATAAGCCAATCACAATTTTGTTAGAAAAAGTCTAAATATAAACTTTTCAACTTATATATTTCACACATTACTGCCAACCAATGGGTCTTCAAGTACTTTCAATCTTATTTTCAATGACAGCACTTGCTCAAATATCAAATCTCTCAGTTCATCTCATTGAAAAGCGTGATTATTCCCATAACACAAGGATGGCACCTTGAAAAGGGAGTGCAAAATGAAGCAGCGCCTTCAGCAAATCATTATTTCCCAGCCCCCGCTAGAGTTTCAAAGCAATTCAATCAAGGACACAAGTAGATGTAGCCGATTAAGTAATTATGGACTTCTTGCTGTATGATGTAAGGCACTTGTGATATAACAGTCTGATTTCAACCACCCACTACTTCAGGCCAATATTTGCATGTATGGCTGGGCTCGTTAGCTGGAGCTGTTCGTGTTCAGAGTAGTCTATTTCCTGTCTATAAATAAGCCAATGGGTGGGCAGGGACCTTATGTGGATGGAGGAAAATAAATGCTCTGAAAAGCATGTGAGGAGACATTGAGATTAGATCAATAAGCACTTTTGGTTAAGCCTAGTGGTTAAAGCGTTCGCTCATCATGCTGAAGATCCGGGTTCAATTCCCCACATGGGTACAATGTGTGAAGCCCATTTCTGGTGTCCCCCGCCATGATATTGCTGGAATATTGCTAAAAGTGGCGTAAAACTCAACTCACTCACTCACTTATTTGGTTATGCCAGGGCTCAACTGCACAAAAAGGACTTAGCGCTGAGACTTCATGCTATACCTTGACATTGACTTAACACTGACAGTCCTAGCATCAACATCGGTCTGTGCATGTGAGCTAGTGTCTCTTACCATACCTACTGACCCCAGGGAATATATCAAATCAAATTCACCCTCATTCCACCCTCAACGCCATCTCAGCTCTAACACCCCATACTCATCCTCTATTCTATCTTACTTCAGGCTTCCTTTAAAAAATCTGTTTTACCTAAATCATAACCTATTTTCAAGGACTATATTTCTACATGTGAGCCCCAGGGCTCATTTCCACTAAGGGTCAGTATGGAAGTTATAACAGACAGCCCTTAATGTCTTTTTGTGGAAAGGGGCCAAAATGATTTAAACATGTTGAGTCAAGATTTGGTGTAAACAAAATATGACTTATCTTTACAAAAAATACCACATGCCAGTTGCTGGCAGAGTTCTTGATTATTTATACTACATTTCCAATAGAATTGGTGGAGTAATTGCTGAATAAAAGTTTTAAATTCTTGTTCAGCTTTGTGCCTGATGAGCTTAAAGCAACATTTGAACAAGCTTCTGTACTTCATGGACCCCTAAACTGCCAGAAAGATGCTGGGTCAGTGAATGAGTCTGATGATAGCCGTGGCTCTCACCTGTGTTCCACTGCTGCAATGATGAAGCCCTGAGATGCAAGCTCGAGACACAGGGTGGTGTAGGTGGTCCGGTTTCCTCCCAAACCATGGGAGAGTACGATCACTGGAAACTTCTTCCCATTCTGCAGCACCGGAGCCTGCCATAGTGCCGGAACATATACATCACCTGGGGAATGAGACACACATCAGAAACAGCATTCACACGGGTGTCATCAGAACTAACATTCACATCGTCTGTCATCAGAACTAACATTCACATCGTCTGTCATCAGAACTAATATTCACATAGTCTGTCATCAGAACTAACATTCACATCGCCTGGCATCAGAACTATATTCACATCGTCTGTCATCAAAACTAATATTTAGATAGTCTGTCATCAGGACTAACATTCATATCACGTCATCAAAACTAATATTCACATAGTCTGTCATCAGAACTAAAATTCACATCGCCCGTCATCAGAACTAATATTCACATAGTCTGTCATCAGAACTAACATTCATATCACGTCATTATAACTAATATTCACATAGTCTGTCAGTAAGGACCGCCTCCGTGGTCTTGTGGTAGAGCGTCCGCCCGGAGAGCGGAAGGTCTGGGGTTCGATCCCCGACCGTGTCATACCAAAAGACGTTAAAAGATGGCACTTGTTGTTACCCTGTCTGGCACTCGGCATTAAGAGGCTAAAACAAGGACTGGTCGGCTCGGAGTCAGTATACTGTGTCTGAGTGGGGTATTCATGTTTAACTGCGACATGGTATCTCAGTGAGCTAGCACTATAAATCGGCATCAGTCCGGACTAGTACAAGCAGCCACACAAACACACACACGTACATGCACGTCGCTATATAAGTGCAATAATCTTGGACGCGACGTTAAACCCCATTTCACCTCACCTCACCTGTCATTAAGACTAACATCGCCTGTCATCAGAACTAACATTCACATCACGTGTCATCAGAACTATATTCACATCACCTGACATTAGAACTATATTCACATCGCCTGTCATCTAGACTAACATTCACATCGCCTGGCATCAGAACTAACATTCATATCACGTCATCAGAACTAATATTCACATAGTCTGTCATCAGAACTAACATTCATATCACGTCATCAGAACTAATAGTCTCATAGTCTGTCATCAGAACTAACACTCACATCGCCTGTCACACAAGGAAACACACTCAAAGCATGATGGGTTTCATGACAAAGCCCCATCACTGATCACCACCTGTCTCAACAGGTAACTGTGACATAACGTCCTGAAGCTCACACTCAGCCAGTGTCTGTCTTAAAGAGGTGACGACAAGATTCACAAGCATGTGGTGTTGACCCTCACATTCCTCTGATGCATTGTGGGATTTCTCCCAAGATGTGAATGAAACTTAGTTTTGCCCCAGGCTCAGATAAAGCCTATTTCAAAATAGGGCAATGAATTTGTCTTGATGCACATCCCCCATACCCAAGAATGCCCTTATATCATGTCATATGGTTTGTATTCCAAAGACTAGTACAGGAATGTGTCTTTTTTCAAATGTGACGACAAGAAAAACTGCAATTAAACAACAAAATTCCACTCACCTCCTAACCAATTGAACAGCTTTCCAAATATTTTTGGATTTCTTCCCAGAAAATACATGTAACCAATTCCATACTGGCGCCGAGGTATCCATAACGGCCACTGTCTATCTCTTTTCTGAAAGAAAAACAGGGAACCTTTCTTTAATAAAAAAACACATATTGAATCGGATCACAGAACGCGATATGTCCCTGCTACTTAACATGATTTAAAAAAACATCACTAGTTCTGCATCATAACAGACTTGGTGCAAGATTCATACCCTGTCTTAACTTGAGAATAATTAAATTAATGAATATTGTTTTTTTGCCACAGACAGCAAAATCCAAGCTACATAACAGCATGGTCAATAATGTGGTCTGAGCCAGTGGTTGATAGCATACAATGATACCATCACTCATTGTGACCAACCAATCCTCGTTCATGACAAGCCTGTATGTTTTGGGCCTAAGAATTAAGTGACCTACACAAATATGTTGCTTCTGTGTCTTGTGAATAACGGTAGATTATCACAACAAACAATATATTTTAGGTACTGATTTATATATTACCAAATCTTCTTGTGTATAAACACCTTCTCTACCAAAACACAGAGGGGCGTGCACATAATATACAGACAACAATTATTTTTCCAGCAAGGGACAGACATTATCGTGAATCATCATGTCTAGAATTCTCTTATCACAAAATTTTCATTTTCATTGACCAAGTTTGTTATCTTCTGTAAATCTTTTATCCCAAACCCCTGAATGGGTTGTGCATATACTCAAGTGTGCACAATACATAAAAAAAATATGGTAAACTAGGTTTATTACAATAACTCTGTTTACAATGTTTATACACAAAATATAAACTTTCCCAATCCACTTTAAATTTCATCAAAAGTTTATACATGTAGTGTATGATAAAGTTAATGATGTAAGATTGAAAACAGAAATATTATTGCAACTCCCAATTTATTTCAAAGCAATAAAACTGAACTAAGCGCAAAATTATCAAACACACTTATCCCCCAAAGCGCAAAATGTCAATAAATATGATAGAGTGAGCATGAAGGACCACGGCAGAAATAAACACCCCAGCGCCTAGGGGCATGCTCCTGATAAGTCTCTTATTACATTTCCACATCATGCTCTCATAACTTTGTAATTGACAACTAAATTATTAATTACATCATATTAAGTCACTAAGCCCTGTGACATGGCCATAGTAATGTTGGCACCATATTGGGCTTGCTGTATTTGCTCTGCCTTATAATGAGGAGGGGCAGTAGAAACTGTCATACCGACCCAGCCGCTTCCTGACAAGTAGCGGTATGGTTCATTATGGATATGTAGAACTGATATACCTAGAATATGATGTTCATAACGCCTTCCGGACTCACAACTTCTTCAAAGGGTTATACAGCACAGATAATTGATCTGGATTTGAAAGTGGCGATAATTTCCCTTCGAAACAGCTCTTTGATCATAGATGTAACTTAGGGAGTTATATAATGAAGTCTACAGAGGTGGAAATACATGTGTTGTATATCAGGATACTTAACACCTGATGTGAAAATCAGAATCACTGGTATAGAATAGTTAAAAACAGCTGCTGCAGATGGGAGATTATCATGTTAATTGCATTATGTAATAGTATATTGACATTATTGGAATCCTAGAAATTTTATTTTTGTTTTGAATAGTTCAATTCAAAATTATTTGAGCAGTCATTAATAAAACACTTTCTGTCACCACCATGATTCTCTCAGTAGTCATTGTATCCACTGAATTATTATTTTTATTTAAATTGTTTTTTATTTTTATTTAAATTAATATTTATTTGGGAGTCGCTATTACAGAGTTGATCAGGCATGTGAATGTTGACCTTTAAACAATCAAGAGCTAGTACAATGAACTCTCACACTGGTACCTTAATGTAAAGAAATCTACACACTGATTATGCAGCTAGAGGGGGACGAGGCTCAAGCAAATTGTCAATCCAAACAAATTTGATTCAAGTTGTTAAAAAACTACTACCGTATTCAGCTTAATAAGAACCCTTGACGCTTAGAAAATGGACAAAGTGGAGTGCACTTATTAAAACCACACACAAGTTAAATATGTTTTCAGCAATCAAGCCACAGTTGCCAAACTAAGTTCACATATTCATGAAACTAAAAATGTTTTGATAATAGTTACAGTGCTGTAATATAACCCCCATCTGCGTTGATGTTTTCTGTAAAAAAAAACATAATATACACAAAATATATTAACTGGCATGTAAATATTTGGTCTTGTAGGGCAGTTTATAAGAATTATTTTGGTCAGGGGGTGTTTATAGGAGCAGGTGGTTATTAGGGCGATATACGACATGTTTACCCTAATCATGATTATGACGGAAAGATGTTGTCTAGGCCTACACTGTACATGGGAAACACTCAAGAATAGTCCCTCTTTATTTACATGACTGCTAATTAATCCCAAAAAATCAACATGTGACCATAAAGATCATGCGTATTATTATGAAATAAATAAATCAATATCACGCCTGACATTGTGAATGCTAATTGTTGATTACTGATCAACTTGTTACTGCTTTGGCTTAAATCATCCCTTTGACAACATCAATGCACGTTAATGAAGGCAGAGCAGGCATGAGATCTCAGTCTCTGTTCCAAATGTCTCCCATTCAAAGGTTAATGTTCCATCCCAGCGCCTAGCGACACGTCAACAGTACAAACTCGTTAATTAGTCACCTCGTTATCAGCTTCATTTGTTCACCTGGAGACTTCCACAGGTAGGGTTCACATCATTGAAGCTGGGTTCTTCCAGATATAAAATCAATGGACACGGGTACTCAGAAAGGAAAGTTTGCTGGTAGGGACCTTTCTGGCTCACATGTACTTCCAAATTTCAAATTTGAAGGGGAAAAAAAAGAAATTTTAAAATCAAATTAAGATATTGAGACAATTCATTTGAGTGTTCATGTGCACCAGTGAAAGAAGGACCATTTACAGTTATTTGCATACTTATATCATGGAAACCTGTGAAGATCCAGTGTAGAATAGGTCTTCAGCAACCCATGCTTGCTGTAAAAGGCAACTATGCTTGTTGTAAGAGGCAACTAACGGGATCGGATGGTAAGGCTCGCTGACTTTCTTGATGCATGTCATCGTATTCCAATTGCGTGGATCGAAGCTCATGATATCAATCACTGGATTGTCTGGTCCAGACTCGATTATTTACAGACCGCTGTCATAAAGCTGGAATATTGCTAAGTGCGGCGTTAAATAACAAACAACAATCAAACAACTTATCGTAGGCTTATGTAATGGGTAAATGATTAAGTTTCAATGATAAATTATTTTATTTAACACTGCCAAATTTTGAATTGATAATATTATGTCAGGTCGAGACCAATAAAATTACAGACCGGCCGTCATATAACTGTAATATTGCTGAGTGCTGCGTTAAACAAACAACTTGAAAAAACGAGTAAATAAACTACCCGAATCATCATACAATTCTTTACATACAACTGACAAAAAAGAATTGCATCACTGATACAAACTACATCCCTCTGAGTTCAACACCAACACTGTCTATTTACTTTGGACCATTTCCTTCTTTTCTTTTCACCCTGCATGGATTTTACATTATAACCAAACATGTGCAACCAATAAAATTCTTTGTTGTCATACCAACATTTGAGAACAAATTCAAGAATTTGAAGACTTCTAAGTGGCAAATGATGCCCCCCACACCGGCACAATGCCTGTACTAACTCTAGATGAGAGCCAGTTGGGAAAGTCACGCTCACCGAGGCACCACACCCAGGCGTTACACAGAGCTGCTGAAATTAACACCCTTTCTGTTTTGTGAACTTTAAGCTGGGAGCACTAAATCACTGATTTGGTAGTAATTATCATTCAGTCGACTTAACAAAATATTTTCTTATCGTCCTGAATCTCTATTCATAAAACAGGGGCGGTCGGGTAGCCTAGTGGTTAACGCGTTCGCTCGTCATGCCGAAGACCCGGGTTCGATACCCGACATGGGTACAATGTGTGAAGCCCATTTCTGGTGTCCCCCGCCGTGATATTGCTGGAATATTGCTAAAAGCGGCGTAAAACCATACTCACTCACTCACTCACTATTCATAAAACTATATTTCCATGTTTGTTTACGTAATATGCCATGTCCTACAGTGAATGTGATAATAGTAAAAACTGGTCAACTAGAGCATAGAGCTCATTAGCAAAATTCTAATATTTGGGTAAATATTCGTGGATGAGAACACCCTATGAGGTGAAAGGTTTGGTCCATGATAATGCATGAATTTCGCTAAAATGCCCTGTGACTGGAGGCAACATACATCAACAACATTGGTGGTTCATTAAACACAATCCAATAAACCTAGACATGATTTTGCATCATAATTATAACTTTACTTTTTAATCAGAGTCATCCAGCACTGTAGCTCACCTGGGTAACAGAACATCTTTGTTGAACCCATTACTAACTACACCAAATTTTATTACATTTGGAGTGGAAATGACCTTAAACATGATAGATTCTTGAAGAGCCATGGCAGCCATATTGAAAATCAAATTTGAACCTCTTAAAGACATTCAGGTGTCAGCTTCACTGGTCCAGTGGGTACTCAGAAGACATTCGCAGAAGATGACACCAATGCCAGACAAGCAGACCATGACATAAACATAAGCTCACCTGGCTTTCAGTCAGGTGAGCTAAAAACTGAAGAAATTAACTGAAACCAAATTTCGAAAAAAAACAAAAAAACAAGGTGACAACATGCTACAACTGTTTTATCACACATGTATTTTACACATGTTTCACACATTAGTTTTTCATATCCCCTGTTTGTTCCATAGAAAAACTTTGTTACCAAGTTCCGCTTCAAGATTGTTAATGTGATTGTTAAAGTGATTTGATAAATATCTAAATCAGTATACCAAACCATTCAAAAGCAAAGCTTTCCTTCTCTTTGTCGGGTAGATGTGTAACCAAGTGGTTAAAGTGTTGGCCTGTCATGGCGAAGACATGGGTTTGACTCCCAAAATGGTTACAAAGTGTGAACATCATTTCTCTCCCATCATCATATGGATGAAGTAACGCTAATCACATCCCCAAACTCACATGTAACAATAATAAGCAGTAGTCTCATTATAATGACCAGCAAAAATCAGTCTTGTTTCTCCTTACTTTTAAAAAATAAAAATGGACAGGGTCAAAAGGTAGATTTTATTATTTTATATCTTTGGTAACTTAATTCTGGCCACGCCACTCCAGCATGAGATGCAAAATACGGAATTCAATACAAAAAACAAAATTTGATTTTAATAGATCATTTCTTAACAGTCAGAATACTGTGTCTGCGTGGTGTATCTATGTTATAACTGTGGCATGGACAGCGTCACTATTTAAAACATAGGGCAATGTGGGCATTATGGGAAAAAATATGTATGGTCCGATATGGTCATAGTTTGATGGTTCTTTCTGAGGGAAAGCTAATTAAAATTAAGTTTTCAATTTAGTCTTGTAGATTTTCATGTGTTTTCTGCAAATGACTCTTGTTTGTAGCATAATAATTGCTTAAAATCAGTTTTAAAATTCAGAAAACATAACCAAATAATGATAAATCATTTTATGTAGAAGAGATTAATTAGTTAACATGTTTTTTTTAATAGTTCATGCAAAAGTGTTGTTTGTATTTTGACACGGATGCTCAAGGAACTTTGTCCAGAATACAAATGTGGATCTGCCAGATCTAGACTCCTACAGCAGTGAACTGTGCACCAGTACAACAGATGTTAAATTGTCTTTAATAAATGAACTTTGTACATTAATTCTTTCTGTTACTTGTTAATATTTGGATATGAGAAAGGATGAGATTTTCTTTGGGATGACCCTTTTTGGTTTATTTAGAGAGAAAGAATGTCCAGATACATTTGACCTGGTCATTTATTCTTGTAGACCCTGCCTGATGTAATAACATCTGGATCTACTGGAGGTTGAAAATAGACGTGGAACAAAAACATTATTAGTCCATTAGTCCTTATAATGATACCATATAGCAAAACCATTGAATATGGTCACTTTCTACTAGTTCTTATGATATCTTAGTGATGAGCAGTTTGAATAAGTTTCTAACGCTGAAACATTTTTGGTTTGTTCCAATGCCCAAAGTTATTTCAAAATTTTCCGGCAAATAATACTTAAAGCAGGGTGTAAAAGGGAATTGTGGTGATAATTGTACTCCCAGTATAACCTGACATGACAGGTAGAACAATATGTTTAATTATAAGTTTACATTTTGTCAATAACTAGATGTTGTGGGTAGGTTGTAGGAATGTTGTTACTTGACCTGTGACGGGTTACTCGGGTACTCGGGTTGGGCAGGTCCTGATAAGCACCTGGGTACCCACAGGACTACCGACACCCGTAGTCAGTCACGCGATATATTCTTTAATGACAAAAATTATCTTGAACTCTATGGTTACACTACATGTCACTAATGTTCGCATTTCTTTCTGACTATGCACCCATTCCTTCTGACTTTCATACGTTTGACTAAAGATAAAACTTTAGTCAACTTCAGTGTATGCATGACCAGATCGTTTTATATGTGTATTTTAATACATTTTGCCAGGGCTGGTCACAAATTATAGACAATCAGACAATTTGTACCTATCGCTTGAGACCTACAGCAGGTACCCGGGTAGGGTCGGTTAATAGGGGGATGGTTACCCGGGTAGTTAATTTGGACTCGTCCCAGCCCTAGTTGTTACCAATGTTTGGAAGGAACGTTGTCACTACATTGGGACCACACTACAAGTTTATGTTGACTAAACGACGTGAACCAACGCTGTAGCAACCACAAAATAACGTTCAACCTGAACTTGTTAGCTTGGAATTTGCAATTTTTGTCAATAATGTAAGTAATATTCATTATAGGGGTAATGGCTTGTTTTCACTTTATAAGTATTAGCACACATTCAACTATCTTCGTTTATTAATCATCGCGATATTTCATAATTCTATTTCAAGTGGCGGAGGCTTTAGTAACTTTTTGATAACGTTTGTAACTTTGCGGTCAAATCAAATTTTCAAGTGTATATTTTCTCTTGCCCGGCACGTTAGATGTTTAAGCAAAACTATTTTAATACACGTCCAGCCGCATACCACACCCGCGTGTGTCGGTACCAATCACATACGCATATATCGGAAGCGGGGCGTTATCAGACAAGTATATTTTCCCACCAAGTTGCCTGATCTGTGAAAGTTGAAGAAGCTGCATGCAAGCTTCGTCCGTCACGCATTGCTTGCACTTGTTTAAACTCAAGACATTCCCTTCATATACCAATAAAATTATTCCAATAGATGGTCCGCGTGGTCATAAACCTGTACCGTATCGTTTTTCCTGACGGGCTTATTCTAAACCCGTCGGTAAAGACAGCTGACTGCAGCCTAACGGGGTCTATAAAATGTATACCACAGCTCCCCGTTTTAACGCGAATTGCGTACGCTGTGATTTTGATTATTATCTAAATATCTGCGGATTAAAAAGAGTGGGTGAAACAAAATTACTTACGTATATGTCAGTGTCGTTTGTTGGGTAAAATAACCTAAAGAATGATCCATTTTCAGTGTGGCCACACATAACATCAACAGTCCCGACAGTGTATGGACCTTTTCCAGGAGGCAAGTGCCGACGAACTTTTCTTTTGCCGTTTTGTTCCATTCTATGTGAGGATTTCCCCTCCATATCTGACCATTGACGAGGTGAGAATGGTGAATCCCTCTCACCTTGCCTGACAAGTCGCCTCCGCCGTCCACGCCGCAAACACGGGAACTGTCTCGTTACTCCACTGGCCAAAACACAACACTGTTTCCAAAGTCGCTCAACTCTGACCTACCGTGCGGGGGCGGCCTTCACATTCCGGAGTCGACAACCTTCACCTTGAATGGAAAGTACAGCGATTAACCTCTGTAACCTGAATTGACCCAAACGGACAGAGCCTCGAGACGTATTTCGTGATATTGCGACATCGTTATTTGATTATTGCCGAGTGTGAAGTAATAAGATCGATTGAATGGAAATCGGACTAGAAATGCTAATCATGGATCAAGAAATCGTTCACACAGCCAGCAGGGAAATGTTTTTTAAAGCTGAAGTCGATAAAATGTTATAGCTTTATAGGGGCTACAAGTAACATATGAGCTCTCGATCGAGGACACAAACATATTATTTATTTAACCAAATAATTCAATATTTGGTTATTGGTCGTAGCATTCAGAATTGCAGACAGATCACCTGACGACGTGTCAAAAATCATTTTAAAGCTGAAATTAACTATCGTCAGTTTTTTATAGCTTTGCATTCACGTTAATAGTTGATTGTTTTTATTCGTAGCTGTTTGTTGTAAAATGTCATCGGAAAGAAAGCTTTAACAAATTATGAGCGAATGAAACTTCTTTGAAGCTTTTACAAATGTTCTCCAATTCTAGAGTTTATTTTGTGTCCATTATTTTAGGGAATCTGTATAAGTTATGTGGAATCTCTGATTACACCACTGGTAATCCAGGATAAGTTGAATAAACTCACAAAAAGCGTTTGAGACAAGTAAGCCGTGTGCACATATGGGCAAACACATCTGGTTGTTTCAGCTGAAGAGGGAGAACACATGTTGTGCACGTGCAGATCGTGACGATGACATTAACTACGCTCCCGTCGACACAGGTGCTGCTCATAAGGCTATAAATATCGGTCGCCATAAGAAATCGTTGTTAGCCGAGACAGGACACGCGCATATCTATCGCACTACTTGCCGCGGACCACCCGTTACCCCTTTCTTCACAATGGTACACGTCAGAGGGCTGACTTCATACATCGTCATACGGGGTTAATTGTCAGGTCACAACTCAACTCATCCTAGTGATATTGCAGTGAAGCGTCAACCGATATTCGTCTACAACCTCAGCTACAAATACAATACTTTTTAATATTTTCTTAAAAAAGTTTGTTCACCCTATGGGTATTTAGGTAGTGCAACAAGTGTTGCAGTACCATATATGCAGTTGTCTTATTTACTCATTGATGAAGCCAATTTGTCAGCAGTAAGTCGATTTATTCATAAACGAGGATGTCGACACCCCTGTGTTACGCTGGATTCTGGGGGCTATTTAAGAGGGTTTTCGGAACTCAGCAGTGCGGTACGCGGGACGCAAATAAAATCGTTTTTGGTACGCAGATTCAACATTAATATTTATTTTTTTTAAATTAAAAAAATGGTATTACAAAAGTGATCCATACAAAACGAAATCGGATTTCTTCGATAAATCTGTAAGAATATCAGCATAAGACAGTTTGATTCCATGGACGCGCTCGATTGGACGACCCGATTTAAAAGCGCTGATCGCTAATCCCCCATTGCTCTGATGATCTGCAAGACTAATTAATCTCATTTAAGTTTACGTGACACCAAACATGCCAATAATCCTGGATTACAAGGCACGGAGAGCTTTAATCCCACTGGTAGGGACGGGGTAGGAAGGTGTGTGGAACGACATCTCTGCTCCTGCATGTGTGTTCCGAATATAGACTAAACTTACGTAGGTACAAGAACAGTTTATGTCCATAAAGACACCATGAAGCTGTTCAGAGTTGTGTCCCTTAACTTGCCAAGGCGTATGGGTATTAAATCCCTTGATTCGCTTGAGAGCTTGGGTTTGTAACCACATGGTATTAACGGGATCCACTGCATATTTGAAATTGACTTTATTGCACTGGTGCCGCAAAAGCTCGGCACAAGTAGACTCTGTGCAATATGACATTCTACTTAATCGGACAAAATGTTTTTATCATATAAAAAAATGATCTGTGTAATCCGACATCAACATAAGAAAAACCTTCAGTAAACAAACGATTTTGTTCGTATTTTTTGTATCCTTAAGCGACAATGTTTACATGAAGATTAGTGCATGTATTTAGTATTTTTTAATTCATTCATTGTTTCACTTTATCTAGTACTTGTAGGCCACGAGCCTTTTCTTACAAAGGAAATACAATTTAGTATTTAGTATATAACCTAATGCTTACAACCCGGGTCGTCTAACTGTCAGAGCTTCACTATGCCTGGGTATCTAACCATGCATGAGTGGTTTCTCCGCGGCTCAGTGTATTCACTGACCCGTATAATCTGTTTGGGAGGGACTATCATTGGGCATAGGGGTGTATGGGTTGGGACAGCTTAAAATAGTGCTACACTATAGATATTAACAACACTGTATTTATTAAAGTATTTAGGAATTGGATTAAAGAAATTAAAGGGATTTTTCAATTAAGAAATGTAAGTGAACTGAGATAGTTTGACAATATGGAGATTAATAGTAGATAAGAGAATCAAACACCTAGTAATGGGATAAGATTAATTACATATTTTTACAATTAACAACTGTAAGTGAATTAATTAACTAATTGCGCGGCGAAGTATAGTTAGAGAACGGAGGAATAAGATAAGATTCGGAGTGGAGTTTGGATAAACGCCCTTGTTTTAAATATATGTGAAGTTTATATAATTCCTTGAACACCAATTTCAGTATAAACACATGTCTCTACAGTCATCCAACACTTGGCAATAGTACAGTTATCTTCTAACCTTCGTGGTGGTAGACGTGTGTATCATGCAGGCTACAAGTACTCTAAGGACAGAGAGAAGAACGGCTGTGTGTACTGGAGGTGTGTATCATGCAGGTGGTCAAGTACCCTATGAACAGAGAGAAGAACGGCTGTGTGTACTGGGGGTGTTTATCATGGAGGCTACAAGTACTCTGTGAACAGAGAGAAGAACGGCTGTGTGTACTGGAGGTGTGTATCATGCAGGCTACAAGTACTCTATAAACAGAGAGAAGAACGGCCGTGTGTACTGGAGGTGTGTATCATGCAGGCTACAAGTACTCTATGAACAGAGAGAAGAACGGCTGTGTGTACTGGGGGTGTGTATCATGGAGGCTACAAGTACTCTATGAACAGAGAGAAGAACGGCTGTGTGTCCTGGAGGTGTGTATCATGCAGGCTACAAGTACTCTATGAACAGAGAGAAGAACGGATGTGTGTACTGGAGGTGTGTATCATGGAGGCTACAAGTACTCTGTGAACAGAAAGAAGAACGGCTGTGTGTACTGGAGGTGTGTATCATGCACTCTGTGAACAGAGAGAAGAACGGCTACTGGAGGTGTGTATCATGGAGGCTACAAGTACTCTATGAACAGAGAGAAGAACGGCTGTGTGTCCTTGAGGTGTGTATCATGCAGGCTAAAAGTACTCCATGAACAGGGAGAAGAACGGCTGTGTGTACTGGGGGTGTGTATCATGCAGGCTAAAAGTACTCTATGAACAGGGAGAAGAACGGCTGTGTGTCCTGGAGGTGTGTATCATGCAGGCTAAAAGTACTCTATGAACAGGGAGAAGAACGGCTGTGTGTACTGGGGGTGTGTATCATGCAGGCTAAAAGTACTCTATGAACAGGGAGAAGAACGGCTGTGTGTACTGGGGGTGTGTATCATGCAGGCTAAAAGTACTCTATGAACAGGGAGAAGAACGGCTGTGTGTACTGGGGGTGTGTATCATGCAGGCTAAAAGTACTCTATGAACAGGGAGAAGAACGGCTGTGTGTACTGGGGGTGTGTATCATGCAGGCTAAAAGTACTCTATGAACAGAGAGAAGAACGGCTGTGTGTACTGGGGGTGTGTATCATGCAGGCTAAAAGTGCTCTATGAACAGGGAGAAGAACGGCTGTGTGTACTGGGGGTGTGTATCATGCAGGCTAAAAGTACTCTATGAACAGAGAGAAGAACGGCTGTGTGTGCTGGAGGTGTGTATCATGGAGGCTACAAGTACTCTGTGAACAGAGAGAAGAACGGCTGTGTGTACTGGAGGTGTTTATCATGGAGGCTACAAGTACTCTGTGAACAGAGAGAAGAACGGCTGTCTGACTGGAGGTGTGTATCATGGAGGCTACAAGTACTCTATGAACAGAGAGAAGAACGGCTGTGTGTACTGGAGGTGTGTATCATGGAGGCTACAAGTACTCTATGAACAGAGAGAAGAACGGCTGTGTGTACTGGAGGTGTGTATCATGCAGGCTACAAGTACTCTGTGAACAGAGAGAAGAACGGCTGTGTGCTGGAGGTGTGTATCATGCAGGCTACAAGTACTCTGTGAACAGAGAGAAGAACGGCTGTGTGTACTGGAGGTGTGTATCATGCAGGCTACAAGTACTCTGTGAACAGAGAGAAGAACGGCTGTGTGTACTGGAGGTGTGTATCATGCAGGCTACAAGTACTCTGTGAACAGAGAGAAGAACGGCTGTGTGTACTGGAGGTGTGTATCATGGAGGCTACAAGTACTCTATGGACAGAGAGAAGAACGGCTGTGTGTACTAAAGATGTGTATCATGCAGGCTACAAGTACTCTATGAACAGAGAGAAGAACGGCTGTGTGTACTGGAGGTGTGTATCATGCAGGCTACAAGTACTCTGTGAACAGAGAGAAGAACGGCTGTGTGTACTGGAGGTGTGTATCATGCAGGCTACAAGTACTCTATGAACAGAGAGAAGAACGGCTGTGTGTACTGGAGGTGGGTATCATGCAGGCTACAAGTACTCTGTGAACAGAGAGAAGAACGGCTGTGTGTACTGGAGGTGTGTATCATGCAGGCTACAAGTACTCTGTGAACAGAGAGAAGAACGGCTGTGTGTACTGGAGGTGTGTATCATGCAGGCTACAAGTACTCTATGAACAGAGAGAAGAACGGCTGTGTGTACTGGAGGTGGGTATCATGCAGGCTACAAGTACTCTGTGAACAGAGAGAAGAACGGCTGTGTGTACTGGAGGTGTGTATCATGCAGGCTACAAGTACTCTATGAACAGAGAGAAGAACGGCTGTGTGTACTGGAAGTGTGTATCATGCAGGCTACAAGTACTCTGTGAACAGAGAGAAGAACGGCTGTGTGTACTGGAGGTGTGTATCATGCAGGCTACAAGTACTCTATGAACAGAGAGAAGAACGGCTGTGTGTACTGGAAGTGTGTATCATGCAGGCTACAAGTACTCTGTGAACAGAGAGAAGAACGGCTGTGTGTACTGGAGGTGTGTATCATGCAGGCTACAAGTACTCTGTGAACAGAGAGAAGAACGGCTGTGTGTACTGGAGGTGTGTATCATGCAGGCTACAAGTACTCTATGAACAGAGAGAAGAACGACTGTGTGTACTGGAGGTGTGTATCATGCAGGCTACAAGTACTCTATGAACAGAGAGAAGAACGGCTGTGTGTACTGGAGGTGTGTATCATGCAGGCTACAAGTACTCTATGAACAGAGCGAAGAACGACTGTGTGTACTGGAGGTGTGTATCATGCAGGCTACAAGTACTCTATGGACAGAGAGAAGAACGGATGTGTGTACTGGAGGTGCACAGACGGAACATGCAAACGGATACTATACCGACTATGAATGATTTGCTTGTTAAACTTGGTCCAACTCCACGACCAAGGGAATGACAAGCGAATTCTCACTTTCGTCACTCATCCCTGACTATACCTGCGTATAGCTACTGTTTTCCCGTTTTCAAAAATTAGACGAAGCGGGTTGATACCAACCTTCTAAACACTCAATTAATTCGATTAATGAATACACAATGCCATTTCGAAAGTGGTTAAATGTCACAAATGTTATATTTGGGATAACACTTTCTTAGTAAAGTACAGATTCTCGTACTTTTTTTGGGTTGAGTCCCGTCCGGGATTCGAACCCACATTTGTTACATTTGACCACTTTCTAAATGGCATTGTGTATTCATAGCTTTCGACCATGGGAGCGGTGCCAATTTACACTTGTCAGAGGGGTACTCAAAGTACGTGTTCTAGACTACTAGTTGTCGGACTTTCATTTTTGTGGAAGCCTCGGTGGCTGAGTGGGTTAGATCGCTGACTTTGTGTGCTGGCGATAAGGTGCCTCACTCAGTCAAGTGTGGGTTCGAATCGGACGGGACGGGACTCAACCCAAAAAAGTACGAGAATCTGTACTTTACTAAGAAAGTGTTATCCCAAATATAACATTTGTTACTCAATTAATGCTTAACAAGGATTAATCTCTGCATGAATCAATTAACTTTTCATACTTGGTGCAATACGTGTGTTAATCCTTAATTGTTCCCTTAACTGGATTACAGCCTGAGTGAGTGAGTGAATCACCGAGGTGCATTCAGTCATCTCACTAATCCCACCTACACGAACATTTACAGAAAATACATCCACACATCCATGCATCTTTTGGAAGATACGTGATATATTGCAGTTTTGTCAACCTCCGCAAGATTGTTACGTCATTGCCATTCATTATTTAGTTCAGTTTGTACATAACTGTTTTTAGTTTTTTGTAATTAAGTGGAGGTAAACGTTCACAGTTACATTTAAAGATCATGAGCCACTCGAGATCAAATTAATAAAAAACCTATTATCTACACTGATGAAATGAAGCAGTAGTAAACATAAAATAATTAATATTTAGAGTTTTCATGATAACTTCCATATAAATCTTACTGTTTAATAACATCAGCAAGAACATTTTTTCAGCTAAAACATTCACATAGGCAGTAAAGCTACCTCAATAATCAAGGTGATATTGCAGGTACATGTATACGGCGATATATGAACTACTAGTATTTCACTGGACTCGTTAAGATCCGGGGTAGAATAGGTCTTCAGCAACCCATGCTTGCCGTAAAAGGCGACTATGATTGTGGTAAGAGGCGACTAACAGGATAGAGTGGTCAGGCTCGCTGGCTTGGTTCGATGCCAACTGCATGCATCGATGCTCATGATGTCAATCAATCACTGGATTGTCTGGTTCATACTCGATTATTTACAGACCGCAGTCATACAGCTTGAATATTGCTGAGTGCGGCGCTAAACAACAACACCAACAACAAAACTCATTTTATATTGATCCTGCTGATATCGATAACTATGCATGCCATGATCTGCTTCATCAGACATTTTCAATGTATTTGTTAAAAAATGAAAATACTTGTAGTTACATGCATTTTTGCTATAATACATTTATTAATATATAGTTTCATTACTGACAATGCAATATTAAATAATGAAACATTCCTTTCTTTTCAAGTAAAACATAAAATAATATAAAATATAAATAAATATTCCCCTGTTGTGAAACTTTTAAGTAATAATCATATATATATTTCCCTAAATACTCCCCATGCAGGAAACATCACAGTAAACAACAAACCACAACCTTCGAAACAATACTACAAATGATTGAATTAAAGAGAACAACACTACAGATAGCCATGATTTATTAAGTACAAACCACTTGTAAAGAAATATTTCAATATCCGGCAGGAGCTGCGTTATCGCCGTGCGTGCACCGCCTCCCCCCGCTCACCCCCCGAATACCACACGTCACATCTGTCGCCAAGACTTCGATATTCAGATTCGATTTATCACCGGCTACAACTCTTTGTCAAAAGTCGGCGGCACTGTTACGTTGATCAACTACGTGGCGCTGTGGCCAACTTCCTGCGAGCACATCTACACTTTACCACACGTTGTTGACGTATTAGGAGGGGAATTGGGGAACATTTCTCACCTGGGATAATTACAGGTAGTCACAACCCTGCTCAAACAATGAGGTAAGCATTTCTTGAATGTTTTTTTTTTGATATTATGCAAAGTTTTATTGATACTGGATTAACCAAATAGAATATACGCACTAGAAATATGATAAATTATTTGAAGTCTGAATATATGGTATAATTACAGAAACTTTACTATCTCAGATCTGTTTTCATTATCTTGTTTTTTATTCAAACACATTATCATTCATTCAGGTATGATTATCTTTTCTGCAAATGTTTAAAGCTAGAAATTGTACTTGTTTGTCATATATTTGTTGGATCATTTTGAGAAATATATTTGAGTAACAAATTCGCCACAACATCATCGTTGTGTGATAACAACATTACCGTTATACGGCTTCTTTATATTGTATACTCAGTATTTCATCAGCGTCCCATCTTATGTATATGTAGTTGGGTAGTCACCCACACCCCCAGGGGTGGGAGGACAAGGCTATAACAGCAGTGTGAACCACATCGGTGCTGTCTTATTCCTTAACCCACCCCCCCACCCCCCCCCCCCCCCCCCACCCCCCTCTTCGACTATCATATTTATCACATGAATTTTATTACTATCGAAATAGGAGTATACTATACGAGGTTGTTGTTGCTTGATATAATGTTTTTGTTTTTAACCTGAACGTCTTATTTGCTTTGCTGACATGTATTTCGTGTTAAACAAAGTCTGTATTCTCATTTCTAACAATTTGACTTTCATTAGAATTGTACTCAGGAATATTGTATTTGCAGCGTTACATTATATTCTGCCCGTAGTATTTTACCATGGAGGTCCACATCATCACCTTCGTGTAACTGATAAGATAATGTACATGAAAAGAGGTCACGGAGAACAGTTTTTGAATAAACTGATAACATTCTCTATAAAATATACAAATAACAGCGAGGTAAATGGACATCAATTTCTCCTCAGTAAATGGTTAAATTTCGACAACGTCAAAAATAGTCTGGGAACACAATTGACACCGTTTGCATCTTGACGCAAAGAGTTACGTCCCTTTGACATCTTTTACGACACTTCTACTCACAGGGACGTATTGACATGACATGTAGGCATTCATTCGTCATTCAGTCCCTGTGATCGGAGTTCTAACCTCAAATTACATGCATTAAAAAATGAACCAAAAATCCTCGCTTAAAATGTGCCCCTGTGACGTCGCCTAACCGTGGAGGACACACTATCCAATGACATGTACATATATTAAAAACGTGCCCAACACAACATAATATGGCGTATGATTTTACATGTACTCACAATCGGATTGAAATCAATGCAAACCGCCATTCCATATTGACCTTTAAGTTAGTCTCTAGACATTTTGCGCGCAACCATCTTAAATGGCTTATTAACTTGCTAGCTAATCAGTCAATTAGGTTGGAAACAGTAAGATGACGGTCAGAAATGGCTGTTGCAGCTGTACTTTTGAAGTGAGTACAACATACCCTTTATTATTGGCATTTGATATGTTCTGGCACTTTCGTCAGCAAGAGCACGGGGCTCATAGAAACACGGGCAATGTTATATTTGTGAATCAAGCATGGTAATAATTGTAGAAATCATGAGTCTTGTAAACGAAATGTATATACTTGTGGGTGACGGGGTGATCCACTCCTAAGATGCCGCAATGCGCTGTGTAGAGGTGAGGCCCAGAGGAAAGCCATAAACTTATGATCGTGGGTTCGAATCTAAGATTCGCCCTGATTATGTTTCTAGGTTTGTCAGCACCATACCTGTGTGCCTTAACAAAGTCGTAAACGTCTTTGACCTGTATCACATGTGGCTTACCCCCCTCGTCAAGCCGACATTCCGTTGCATGATATAATTGAAATACTCTTCAAATGGACGTTAAACAAAACTCACGCACTCACTGGTGGCTATATGTTAGTCTGTAATACAGACCGTCAAACAAATACACACAATACAGCCTATGCAAGTCTATAATATTTGGCAAGTCTAGATTACTACAGTATCATGTATCTGAAAATGAAAGAGAGTCTCTGGGCTCCTTTTTATTATATTTTTATAACTATAACAACTGTTTTTATGTTAAAATATGTTCATTTCAGAGACTAGATGTTAGTCTAGCTTTATGTGTGAATGACGAGTAACGGTGTCCGTGCGCGGACCTACAGTACATTAACCTCGACACAAGTCTGTCTATGGATGCTAGAGCTCTATCTTAGTGTACTAGTATAGGTGGTAATAATACATGTTCAGCACACCAGCAATATTGCGTGGTGGTATCAATATGTGCTTCCAGCGTCATCACCATTAGTATTCTGTTTAAATGGCAGGACGCATGGTTTAAAGAACGAGGTATTATAATGGCTTTTTGGTACACTAACATTAACAAATTACATGTACTAATGTTGGTAAACCCTTAAAAACAAAATTTAATGTTTTACAGTTTAATGAGTGAGTGAGTGAGTTTGAATTTACGCCGCTTTTAGCATTATTCCAGCAATATCACGGCGGGGGACACCAGAAATGGGCTTCACACATTGTATCCATGTCGGGAATCGAACCTGGGTCTTCGGCGTGACGAGCGAACGCGTTAACCACTAGGCTACCCGACCGCCCCCTACAGTTCAATGACATCAAGTTGAATGGCTAAAATCCATTGAAAAAACTCCTGGTGAAAACTTACCGAGAGAATGTCCCCTGCCCAATACAAATAATCTAAACAAAAACGACCGAATTCGAATGTTTTTCAATCATTCTAGTTACACACCGCTGAATTTGACATCAAACATTTGTAAGTGTTCACAAGACGATAGCTATAGGTTTTATGAACGCTTCAATTATTTTCAGAACACATTGTCTTCATCTGACAGAAGGGTCACATCTCGTCCTGCCATCTCTATAAGTTTAAACAAGAATAATATTCAAGTATGAACTTAATGTACAAACATACATGTAATATCATGCGCCAGCTGGTCAGTGATCCGATCTTTTACACTAGCGATGTGATGTTCACCATGCGTATGAATAACAGAAACAATGGCGTTCATGCAAACAAGCCTTCTTCAAATGTCAAGTTCATATTGTCCGCTATCGTGTGTGAAACGAACGACTGGTATGTTAATAGGTGTGTTGCATTAGATAAACCGGTTGAAAATGTGCCTTTGCTTAGGTTTCATTGATTATTCGATTTGAAGCGGAACACATGTGCAACCGTATCTCAATAATGCTCAGACAACAGGAAGCTGTCCCGAACATTCGATTGAGTGCGCGTACATTGTAATTCATACGGCTACAATACATCGACCCGTGGCTGCTGTTTCCATTCTTTAAAACAAATATCGTTTTCATACTTTATGCATGTCGAAAATATATGTATGGCTTTTAACAATAACTGAACTTTAAAAAAAAAGTTATCATAGGTAAGTAATATAAGATATATGCATTGTCAGTAAACTTTCAGATAAAGTGTGAAATAGTCGTTCAGGGTTTGATATGAAAGGATATATTCAGTGTTCGAAATACCTGCCTGCCCGACCGTCCGAGACGGGTTGATATCAACTCGGGCTGCCAGATTTTCAAATCCCCCTGCCCGACGGTCGGGTTATATTTCATATGTGACAATATTCTAAATATTTCCCGATGATAATCATTAATTCACATGTAAAGATGAATGATAAAATGTAACCAAAAAGAAATCCCGTTAGCCTATCCTGAGAAACATATGATTATAGTGGGCAGGCAGGTTTTGGTCATGGCTGGCAAGTATTTCAGCTAGCCAGTCCTGTGGTCTGGCTGAAATTTTTGGGAGTTTCATACCCTGACATATTGCCACATCAATACAACGTCGAGGGCCAGCGTGATTTGCTTATTTGTTTGTTTGTTTGTTTGTTTGTTTGTTGTTTAACGCCGCACTCCAAGAAGAGTGAAGCCCCCTTAAAGGTGAACAATGCTTGAGACAAATGCGATCCCATCAGTTTTGAATCAAGTAGAGTTCTCTAACTCTAAACCTGCTCTGTTTCTCTGTGAACTCAAATTTAACGATACCAACCAGCAGTTTAGAACATCGGAGTTGCATTGGAGCAATGTCAGAGTGTAACTAATTACAACCTCTAAACCTGGATTCGAAGTGTGAGGAATATTACAACTATATGACGACGGTTTGTAGATAATAGAGTCTGGACCAGACAATCCAGTGATTGACATCGTGAGCAACGATCTACGCAGTTGGGCATGACCACCCGATCGCGTTAGTCGCCTCTTACAAGCATGGGTCGCTGAAGACCAAGGGCCAACATGACACCTAATAGTTGACGTGTCATGAGAAGGACGATCGGGTGGAAACTTGTCGTCATGGGTCGCTGGTGATGTTCCCACTACAGGACACGTCGACGTGGTGAAGCTGTTATATTGCTTTTTGTCACATTAAACAATTCACGCAATCATTTACTTCCAACACAACTCATTTATTTATTTCAGCCCCTTTTCAATCAAAATGTCGTTGTTGTTGCTGCTGATGACGGTGACATGGACGGCGGACGCTAGGATTGGATTTAAGAAGGACTTGTCAATGGAAGCTGCTTTCCCTGTCCCCATCAGGAGAGACGCGGGCCTTCCGGAGGGGCATCTCCGACCCCTGGGTAATTGTCTCCAGTCATATCACATTTATCAAATATTTGTATGACAAATTGTGTTAATTTGCAAAAGATTACGATAAAAGTAAGTGCAATATTAAAATATTGAAAAACAGACTCCATGTCTCTAATGGGCCACCGTAGTGCCCCGTTCCACAAAGCGATGTTAGATGATCGTGACTCCCATACTTTAACATAGGCTTACGATTGTCAAAGCATATAATATCGTAGCTGTGCATATAATTTGCAAACTGCGGCGTAATATAGCGGCAATATTGCTGTCTGTGCGTCATAGCGATGCATGTATTGTGTCTGACTGCGGCGTACAACAACAGTCATTCCACCACCGATAGTTGACGTGTAATATCTTCTCCCCATTCAGGCTACCAACGTCCGGCTGATTCTCCCGCCGACGAACTGGACGGCTTCCCCGACATCAGGGTGTTCTACCACGGCTACTCCAAACAGCGGACACCCGTGGTGTTCCGAAACGCTCTCAAGGACACAGAGGTGTTTAGGAACTGGGCGACTGACAAATACCTCAAGGACACGTAAGTAGAGTGTGCCTCCGATACGATATGTCTCTGCGTCCATTGGAGGCTGCGTCAGGTCAACTTTCTAATCTACCAATCAGAGTGGAGGCCTTTAATTTCTGGGCACCAGTGACCCGAGCATTTAAACCAGCATATCTGATTTCTGTATTTCGCAAACGAACTTAAACGAGAAGTTCCGAAAGGAGAAATAAAAGGGTTAGATACACTGTGGTTGATAGTGTATACAGCAATCGTTTGTGGAACAGTAGTCTGTCTTACAGACCCTGATACAAATATATATCAAAAATAGCCCATGCAAGTCTATAATGTTTGGCAAGTCTAGATCACTGCAGTATCTGAAAATGAAGAGAGTCACTGGGCTCCTTTTTATTATATTTTTATTAAGATAACTGAACAACTGTTTTTTTATGTACGATATGTTCAATTCAGAGACTAAATGTTAGTCTAGTGGAACAGCGTCCAGGAACGTCATACATTTCACCTTTATGTATTTTTACAAAAAGTAAGAAATAATAATGTTTGGCTCAAGTTTAATACATGTACATTCTTTTTATATCAATTTCCGCGTTTCGCAAAATAAAGGATCTGGATCCGCCTATGCTCAGTCTACAGTTGACCCCTTGTTCACAGGTTTGGCAAAATGAACGTCACTGTTGTCACCCAGCGCCCCATCTTCCACAAGGACGAGATCAAGCGGACCACCCAGGTGATGAAGGTGAAGCGCTTCCTGTCCGAGTACGAGTACGAGGACTGGTACATCTCCTCCGTCATCCCACAGGAGATACAGCAGCAGCTCTCGGTCAGTCTAGAAACTCATTCGGGTGCACTCGACTTATTCCGCTACCCTCGCAATAACGGTACCTCGGGCAGTAGAGTAGTGATATGCAATGATTACACTTTAACCGCATTCCGACAGACCCCTCCGCAAATAGTTCCTATAACATGACGGCCTATTTTTATAAACTTTGTTTTGTGGTGGCTAAGTAGAATTATCGTTCACAATTCGATATCAAGCAACACTTATATAATGGCAACGACTTCCGCCAGATTGTGTTGGTGAAAGTCATGTGAACTAGTGAAACTAATCGCGTTCCAATATGGACGACCCCGAATGCTATCGGTGATGGAAACCAAGTAGTTGCAGCAGCCAACTCATTGCTAATTTAGGAGATAAACCTGCTGTGTTGTGAAATTTGATGAAGTCCCACTTTCGAGTAGATACCTCTTATCTTAATCTCTGTATTGAGGACGTTGCACATTACGAAGGTGCTATAACACTGTGTAATAGGCATAGTGGTTGGTTCGGATACACCATAACGTAACGATGACTATGCACTTTCAAAACTTATCATCCAAAACTGGCTCCCACAGGAGATATCGCTTGGGTGAGAAATTGCATCACAATGCTTTGCAGAGCATTGTGACGTCATTGTTACCATGACGTCACAATCAAATGACATCACTAATGGCTCTGCTACTGAAGCTGTTAGCAGTACTTTTTACACTTAGACACTGCTTATTACTGTCTACAAACTGAGAAAGTTGGAAGAATGATGTTGGATTATAAATAAAATCTCACCCGAGTGTCTTTTGACATAACATATATCAACACTCGTTGATAAAAGTGGAAAAAGTTTTTCCACTTTTATCAACCCGTGTTGATATATTTGTCATCAAAAGACACTCGGGTGAGATTCTCTATATATCAACTCTATGGTATATCAACACATAACCCTTCCGGTGCAGCTGCCGACTATCTTCAACTGCGGGGTGGTCAGCCGGTATCTGCAGCGGCCGGAACTATGGATGTCCAGTGGCAGCATCTCCTCCAAGCTCCACAGCCATCACGACCACAACCTCCACTGCGTCCTCTTCGGCAGACGCGACTACGTCATCATCCAAAACAAGTACAGATACAACTTTGACTTCAAGGAAACAGTGAGTCATTATACCGCCATGATAGACGCAAAACATGTGGCCTCGTTAGACTTATGTAGCCCTGTAATCGGATCACCAGTATTGTAAATGTGTGATCTTTTGAGAACACCTTGTGTTGACTTAGATCTAAGAAGCGTTCTTAAGTCTTTGCCCATCACAAGTCTATTAGCATGGGTTCATAGAAACGCCAAGAACGTGCGAATATCGGAAAACTTTGTGAAATAAACACATATACGTAGGAGAAGGTATCGAGTGTGTTTAACGGTTTGCAAAGCCAAATTCACACTGAGACCGATCACCATACAAATCCTGATTGGATTGACCTTTTGATTGAAATTTTAATTCCTGGCGTATGCATATGAAAAGAGGGGTTTTTTTCGGACAAGAGCTCTAGTTTCGTCATAATGATCAGAAGTTCTTGTGGTCTTTATTACACTTTGGTTGAGGACAGTCATGGGTGGGTGTAAGACTGTTTCCTAGAAGGTGGATTTATTAAGTAAGGTTTATCAATGTGCAAACCACACCGGCGAAAACAACAGTCACAAACTACCTCGAAGTATAAAGCAACTTTGGCCACGCTGAGGTATTGTTCTCTTGCTCACGGTGTGAGGAACCTTCTTGCCTACGTATGTATGTACACAGAATACTCCAGTTCCCCATTTCACAAAGCAACCTTAGCGCCACGACTATCGTAAGCTAATGTTAAAGTATTCGAGTTACGATCACCGTAGCGCCAAGATCGCTTTGTGGAAGGCCCTTGTCGAGAGCATTCGGTTTTGCTGTAAAAAAATCGAGTCTAAGCATAGTTTTATCGGAGACACATTGCATCAGGTATAAACATATATTTGTCTTGCTGAATCCGCCAGATGGATCTTTGATTTAGGCAGATTCTTTGCAAGTTAGAAAATGATGTTTTTCTTGACACATTTGAGCCATCGTTTATCAGTTCCCGTTTATTGCATGACCCTGAAGGACATCAGCACCTATGGGAGGATAACGAGAAACCATCACTTAGAGTTTCTAGGGCTTCAAACCTGCCCCTGTCTCCTTCGGCAAGTGCCTTTGTACAAATGTGCCTCTGTTCACTCAGCAGTGAATGGGTACCCGGTAGGACAGTTAACCTTCTAGCGTCTCACCGCCAGCTTGGGCTGTATACTCCCCAGGGAGCTGAGAATGATAAACGAGTGTACGCTGATCCATTGAGTCCGGTAATAATGTTAGCGCATTGAGCAAGCACCTTGTGTGTTGAGTCTAGTGCAATATAAGTATCACCTGATGGCTGACATTTTTGCAGTACATCAACTCCGGCGAGGGCTCCTCCCCCATCGACATGGAGAACATCAACGTCTACAAACACAAGAAGGTGAAGGAGACGCCATGGACATGGGCCACTGTCAAACAGGGGGACTGTATTCTCATACCCTCAGGTAACGACCTATTGGTATTCCACATAACCAAGTGTGTTTACGTGCCTGTATCAGGCACAGGTTGACCTTAACAACAACTAACACTGAGTCTGAAGTTGGTTGAGTAGGAATACATGACGCTTTCTTATAGAACTTTTTTATTCTTTGTAACGACGTTTGAAGATTGTGCCATATAAATCGTCACTGTGACTTTGCCATGCTAGAAAATATATCAACCACAGAATTGTAGGCTGTAACTTTGGACCATGCAAGTTTTCACGTATTTCGTTCTAACCTTGTCACAAGGACGTAATGGAAATTTGACAGTGACGTTCATAAATGTTGGAGTGAGTTAGTTTGTTTAAACTCTTGTAGCAAAACACTCAAGACAACCACAGCAGGAAACATCACAAATATGGTTGAGGCATTTCACACATGTTGGGTATCGTATTTTCGGCGTAATGCTCCCTGTGTCCATATAACCCTTGATGGTGCGTTATGTAAACCTGTGACTAAAAAAACGAGAAAAAACAGTCAACGTGATAACGTTCAGTATGATTATAACTGAAAAGCCAGGTGTCAAAGAATCACCATGAGTTTTACATTTCTTCATGGACGCGCGTTCCTCTGCTCCAGGTTACCTCCATTACGTGCACGCCTACGGCCGCAGCATCTCCTACTCCATCCTCTTCTCCCCCACCTCCGACACCGACGAGGATGTGGACGAACCTCCGTGTAGGAAGGGCACCGCGAATAAACTCAAACCAATGTCAGAAGCAACCTTCACATGGAGTTATGATGGCGGGAAGACGGTATGTATAGACTGGGTTTTGAAGACAAGACTAGAACTGGCAAACCATTGACTGCAACCATGAATAACGACCAACGCCATCGTTTTTTATGACATGCTATCGGCCAGGTTTGGCCAACCACACCCCAATTGTTTGCTGACCGGTCTCCAACCAGGATCGAGTACCAGTAAATGTTATGCTGTGTCTATAAAAACTAACATAGCACTCTGAATACACTGGTATAACAAACATAAGTGTTCACATTGCCAACATTTTTGCAAATCCTGTTGTATGCATTCGAAAGATGACGCAACATTGAAGGACGTTTGTAATTTGAAATTCAGTATATGTTACCATTACAATAAAGGTGAGGTGAGGTGAAATTGGGTTCAACGTCGCGTCCAAGATTATTGCACTTATATAGCGACGTCATTACAATAAAGATTAGACAACTTGAAGAAACTTATGATTGATGTGCTCAGGGGTCTTCCCAATCTCATAAAAATCAGACCTCAGTTCTCGCTGCCGCTAAACAAAGATCTGAGGACATCCCATTAGCGGTCTCGTCAGAACGACCTTTCATCCGACCAATCAGAGCGTCGCTTACCAGATCATTTAAGTGACAGTCGGAATGAGATTTCTCATCATGCAACTTCGAAAAAACTTTAACACGGTGTATTCCGAACGATAGTTACGGGTTTAACGACTGAATCCATCCAATCTATCTATTAGCCATTCCACAGTGTTCTTTTGTTCAGGTTTCAAATTTTAAATCGAGAATTTGTCAAAATATGTTTCGAAGCGTAGTCGCCAATTTGAAATTAGTGCCGTAAAGCACGAGAAAGCTGCCTTCTGATTGGTCATTCCATTGGTCGGTCAAAGTTCGCGCAAGGTCGGTCTGACATCACCCGTACTGGGATGTCCTCAGATCTTTGTTTAGCGGTAGCCAGAACTATGAGCTGGTTTTAATGAGATTGGGGTCTTCCATAACAGCTTCTATTCCTTGACAGCGTCTTGCTAACCGGCGTCTGGACGGAGTGAGCATGCGCCACCATCTCATGTCGCTCCTCAGAGACCAGGGACAGATCTACTTTGAGAAGTTTGAACATTTCTACAGCGAAGCCACATCTTGGGTATGTACATTCAAGTCTTCACTCGCTTGTGTAAAGTCTTGATAGGCATATAGAGGTTTTAGACTGAAAACACTTTAAAATTGAATACATGACACTTTTGTATGGATGGAACTTCTTATATTCTTTGTACGAAGTATCTATCCATAAAAAGTGCCTCGTATTCATGTTGTCCCAACTTCTAAATGCCTATCACAAACTTTAAAATTGGATTTGATCAAACAATTACAAACGTTATCAAAAGTTTGAAAACAGTCCCCGAAACACCGAAGGTCCAAAACACAGCTATGATACCCGTGACTTGTACAACAGCATTCCATAACCATTTCTTTGTTTGTCTCATTTTTACCCATCATCAAACATGGGTGTATACATTCCTTTACCAAGCAGTTTATACATGTGTCACTTACGGCCTGTAAATAATTATGGGTCTGGGAAAACAAGTGATGACACACATTAAGGCACCAAGATGTCACCAGACTCCTACTACCAAAACAAATTGAATGTTTAAGTATTCGGGTACTGGTGGCCCATTCTACCTATGAACCTCAACGAGGGTTTCATTTCTATGAATAAAACAAAAATCGTTGCCTAATAATTTAACGTATAACTATCGGTATCTAATTTGTCGAATGGTTGATCATTACGTGTTTATGTCCTTCCTGTACTGTGGTGTGGGGTAGCCTAGTGGTTAGAGTGTTCGCCCGTCACACCGAAGTCCCTTGTTCGATTCCCAAGATGGGTACAAGGGGAGGAGCTCATTTCTCGTGTCCCCTGACGTGATGTTGCGGGAATATACGGGGTGCAAAGTCTTTACATTCACTCCTCACTGTCCCAGTCATCTGTTTATATATTCATCACTTTCCAGGCAAGAGACGCACCCTCAGCCCAGCAGGTGTTTAATATCTTGAAGGAGAAAATCGTCAACATAAAGAATCGGGACAAGAAACGCGGTCTTAACTATATCACCCGGGTCGACATACACCAGCTGAGCGACGACCAACTACAGAGGGTCGCTACTATCCTTAATAAACCCAACGAGGGAAAAACTCAGAAGGATCGATCCAAATCGAAACACGAAGAGTTGTAGTTATGAAAGTTTAACGGTCTCGTAAAGTTTTATGTCTTGATGGTTATATTTATATCGTTTTAAAATACATTCACGCAGTAAATGTGTTTCAAAAGAAAATGTAATACAAATCAGGATTAAAATCTTTAGAGACAGTTAAATTTGAATGTATGAGTTTTTTTGGAATGTGTCATATCTTAGGAATTTCAAATTAATCTAGTTCAGTCTTTTAATTCTTCACCATTGACATGTTGCGCCTTGTGTAAGATCACACAGAAACAAATATTGTTTTAATTTCCTCACAGAATTTAGATCCTTGCAGATCTATATTTCCAGCCAAGTCCGTCTGTACGGATCACACAACGAATAACCAGCCTATGTCGTTCATGAATAAGCCTGAAACTGAAGATAGTGCCCGACCCATTTTAAAAAAAAAAGAGAAATATGATTATTAGATGGTCCTAGCAAAAATCTTTTGGTAGAATCAGTTCATTTGTATTGAGAACTGCAATATTTCCTTGCCACATTCACGTTGCAATATAATTATCATTCATTCTACTTCACATGTTCAACGCGGCAATTGATGTACTTACTGTTTGCAATAAATATGTTTCATACAAATGTACTAACATCTGTTTTTTGTGTGTAGCAGCGACATTATTAATTATGGAGTATTACACAGGACCCAAAACCGCACTGTACACGGTTCAAACGAAGCTAATGGTTTTAAAAGTACATGTATATTCAATAATCTATTTGCGTTTGAAAGTAAATGTTTATATGCATAATTTTCGACGCTTATCTCATTTCAGCGGCATCTTTGAAGCCCGAGATCATTGTTTATACAGTGTGCTCATTTCCAAGAATCCAATGATTCAATTCCCAGAAGGAATTTTGAAGTTAATATCTCAGTGATTCTTCGCATTTCCTGTAAATATTTCCTTTGAGTGGAGAGAGGTTGAAATTTCTGGCTTCTTTCTGAGGGTTTGAAATATCGTTCCCCTGTAACCTGCACTGGAGCAAGGGGATCCTACATGGACCCGTGAACATCCGGGGTAGAAGAGGTTCTCAGCAACCCATGCTTGCCGCAAAAGGCGATTATGCTTGTCGTAAATTCACTTCGCTGTATTTTAACCACGCTGATACACTTGCAATCAATTGTCATGGGACCTCATTTCACTTTAAAGAAAAACAGCAAAATATGTAAACTCTCCAGTTCCCATAATTCACTAGTTTAAACATTTTCCTTCCACTGGGAGCGCTGGGGTAGCGTTCGCTCGACACGCCGAGTGTCCGGGTTCGATTCCCCCACATGTGCAGTGTGTGAAGCCCCACTCTGATGTCCCCCGCCGTGATAGCTGAGGCGCATTCGAAGACCCGGGTTCGATTCCCGACATGGGTCCAATGTGTAAATCCAATTTCTGGTGTCCCCCGCCGTGATATTGCTTGAATATTGCCAAAAGCGGCGTAAAACCATACTCACTCACATTCTACTACGGCTTATATGGTTCAAGATGTTCTCAAATTAACCTATATCTTTCGCACAATGACAAAGATATTAAAATATCAGCTGGTTGCCATAAATATAACATAAATGCACATTTATATCCCACGTTGAACAAAGATGGCCGTTGTTGTAGACGTTGTTTGTGGAGAGGTTTCACGTAATACCCGTGTTAGGAAGCAGATGTGATCGAAGTTTTGAATCATTTAACTAACTGCTTATGTAGACTTTAACTAGAGTCTGGACCAGACAATCCAGTGGTGGCGTTACATGGCAGTGTAATTTATTATTTAACAGTGGTTGTAGTTGTATTACACTGGTTTTTTTGGGATTCGGTAGACGCTCATTGCTTTGTGTTTAGACAGTAATCAGTCGTCAGGAAGTTACTATTTTTAGATGCTTGTGTGGTGTGTAAACTTCTGATGCCGATTAACTGGTTAGGGCACTGTGTGGAACTTTCCATGGCTGGGTAGGTTGTAAATAAGGGGACAAAAGCGTGTTAAGGGATCTCTCACGGATATCATCGCTTCGGAACCAGCTTTCATATGAGGATCGCTCATCATCCCTGATCCCCTGCCTAGCCTATCTCGAGAGCTTGACCACGGTCGCCGCTGCGTGAATATATATTATTATCACTGAATTTTGCTATCAACACCGTATTTGTGTAATTGATTCTGACCACTGCCATCATGTTATATATTTCCATTGAATCTTGTACAACCAGTCTATTGTTAACTGCCATTGTAATTGCTGTGCAGTAATTTGTATTGATATGTAAACTTGACTGTACACCATTTGGTGGTCGTTTGTTCGTTTCACACTAAGTTCTTTTACGTACAGGTTTCTGGGTTAACATATTGTTTCAATTTGGGAATTGACGCGTGACAATGGTAAGTATGTATCTCAGGCAATATCACAAACGCTTGGATTTGATGACTCATAAATATTTTATTTACATCCAAATATAAAACAGAATTAACAATCAAGAAGTCAACATGTACATGGGAAAGCGAAAGTAAAATCATGACCTATTTGCATAAAGGAAATAGCGTTATCATGACTCCCATACCTGAACAAACGCCGGGGCCTTAATTAAAAGCCCGCTAGTTGTTATGCATGGAATGTTCCCCATTATTATCTTTGCGGTTATACGCCGAGGTAAAGAGTTTCTGAATGAAATATCATCTCAGGCGTCTAATCGAGGAAACAAGGCACTATAGTCTTAGCTACGCTGCTTTCACCTCCGGGGGTTGCTGCACCCACTGGCGTACCCCGGGGGGTGGGGGCTGCAGGGGCGGGATACAGGACTGTGCATCCCACGCCCCATCCCCAGATAACGTGACCTTCAAGTCTCTCTGTGAACCTCCTGGGTAGTATTAGTTCGTGACATTGGCAGTGACGCCCCCCCACACCCCCCTCCCCCGCACACGCACGCATACACACACACATTGCATAACTAAAATTGACATGTATTACCGTATTTCCTCAAATATATGTCAGGATTAAATCTAAATAGATGTCGGGTTTCTATATAGATCTTAGGACTAAACTGATGCCGGATCACAAAATCGATGCCGGAATTCTAAATATATGCCAATACTAGACTTTAAATAGTTGACGGGATTTTCAATAGAACACGGGACTCGTGTCTCGATAGATAGATGCCAATACTATATAGATGTAGGGTGTTGAAATACATGCCGGGACTCTAACAGACGTCGGGTTCTTTAAAACATTAAATATAATATCCCCATTAAGAAAACACAACAAGGAATAGTCACTTACTTGGGGTGAAGGAATTGAGCCCGGGTCCCAAACATTCTCCTGCTCATCATCATGAAACCCGGGGGAGTATATCAGAGGAGGTACAGCTTGCGAAAATTTGGCGTTAAGTAATAAAATAGAGTTGACACATTTCCAAGATTTTGATTTCTGTGACGAAAGGTCCTCCACCAGCCTTTCCCACAGAGGATGTACGGTGAATGGATAGCCAGGAGGGCCGCTCCCAACGTCAAGGCACTTCGTAAGATGCATGGTAGAATGGGATATTTTTCTCTACTCGGCGGGTTAGTAATAATCCCCATGGTGTCTGTTAGATTCAATTCACTAAAATTCTTCATTTCTGTCAGTCGGCAGACATCCCTTTCACATGGTCAATATCATGCCTATTCTCGCACATACGTGTATGCATCTGAAGATATTCATGCACATACATGCACAAAGTTACGTGTATGCGTGTCTATATGTGCACATACATGCGTGTATGTGCTTATGCACGTACAAACGTTGCATATTAAGTCTATGCACGAACATAACTTTAGACTTGTGTAGATATAAAGGCACATACGTGTATGCATGAGCCTATGCACGCACGAACGTGTCCCTACTAATATTTATGCACGTGTCATGCATATGTTTTTGGTGAGACTCTTCTTCTAGTGACATGCATTCAATATCGTCCACATAGCTAACACTGAACCATTGGATTACCATGCAGCATTGTCATACGGATCGTATCAGAGGAGGCTGTCAGACCTATTTCAGACTTTGTTGCGCTTGTCACATCTGGTTAAGCCTGAAGAATCCACAATTCAACAAAACCCCATATCATCAGGTTCACGGCTTCACCAGGAACCAGTTAGAAGTAACATCATCCATGGCACCGACGGCTCGGAAGAATGGTTCTGCAACATCTGGTCGTTTTATTGCTTACGTCACATGGAGGCCAGTGTGGACACACACAGGCACAATTTCCTAGAGGTACTTTGTGCTTCCTGTGGTGATGTACTAGCTAAAGCATGACGTGAGTAATATGTTTCACTGATCAGACACTTACAGCGGGGTCAATTTTATCATTGTATTGATGAGGGAACAATGTTCGCTATCTGTGTTACTGTTGAAAGACGTGTTTAGCCCTCTGCGAGTCAGTTATTGGTTTTGTCAGCAAGACACCTTCTCCTACCATGGACCTGAGAGTTCTGAGAATACCCTCCACCTAGTGCACTTTTACACTAGAATTAAGACAGTTCTTTGTTAGCATCTTTGTTGACACGAAACTCTATAAGTCCATTTAGTGTGTATAAACTGCATACGACGTCACAACCAATCAGAATCCTTGACTCTTGGTCATGTCTGGAATGTAGTGACAGTAGGTCAGCTTACTTTTCAAGCTTAACCATGACACAAAACACTTTAAATGTTTCTTCTCATTTCTGTTCCTTGAGAACATACGTCTTAAATTGAAGGTGCAATCTTGCTAAGGCACCCGTTGACTTTAAACCACGCCCACGGGGACTAATATGGTAGTCCATTCAGCATAACGTTTTCGCCCTCCGTCCGGTTCTCGACAAAGTAGGTCATTAGCTCGCCCTTGCCCTTGACCTTGATGAGGCCTCTTTTCTGGAACTGGTAGCCAAACTCCTTCAGGATGACCATCGTTTCCTCAACCACCTGTAGTGCAGACATAAAAATCAATATTGGCTTTCTTATATAAACTAGCTTCTAATGAGTGAGTGTGTTAATGCTGTGTTGAACAGTATCACGGCGTGTCAGCTTGATTCTGGCAAGCTAAAGGGACGCAACTCTGGGGAGCTAACTTAGACCACTGGACCACCCGTGTCCCCATAACAAAAAGACCACATACTGATACATGGCATATCACACCTAAAAGCTGCTGTAATCATGCTATCATTTTTCATAGAGAGGTTTCTTAGAACAACAAAATTACCTACTTGAAGATTTAAAGTCACTGTGTATTTTTTAAGTGTTTTAATTCGGATGAATATTCATAAATATATACTATTATTAAATGTGAGTTTCTGAACCATTTGTTATTTGGATAAAACATTTCACATATTTAGTACCCTCATCTGTATTAACATCCAGTGTAATCAGTCTAATTAAAATCAGATCGTGCAGTCGGATATGATACCTCTCTATCCAAGTGAGCGCAGCATTCAGAGTAGTACATCTGATTTCTATATTTTTGAAAACGAACATAAACGGGCAATTCCGAATGCAAAATAATAATGGTCACGCTATATGTGTTGTGGCTATTTTTACCCACTGTAGTTTCCGAGCACGGTGGCAGCGACACCCTTTGGGATACAATCATGACAATGGAATCTACCTGAATTCTCCCAGCATGCCCCGTGGACTCCATCCGGCTTGACACGTTGACGGTGTTTCCCCAGATGTCATAGTGTGGCTTCCGCGCCCCAATCACCCCTGCTATAACGGGACCGTGGTTGATTCCTGGAACAGTACCTCTGAACTTCAAACACTGTCATATTATTTGGCCATGGGAAAAGGTTGCATATTTAATTCATGACACATTCCCGTTATAACACGGCACTGCAGACCCACCTATTCTCAGAATGAAGTTGTTGAATGATTGCTCGTTAATTTTCTGCAGTGTCTCCTTCATGGCGAAGGCAAACTGGACGAGGTCATCAAGGTGCTTCCATCTCCCACACATGCCGGTACTCTGAAAATATAGAAACGTTATCAGACTACACAGAGTATGAACTTATATATAAAATAGAATCCCCGGTGTCCCAGGCTTCGACCTCCTGAAGACTGGATGGTTGCAATGTGTGACCTGGCTGATTGAGTGTCGTCGTTGACCATGCTGTTAACTATTGGTCTGCCTGTTTCGTATTTAGAGATTCGAACCCAGATGTTGGCGTGACGAGCGGAAGCTTGAACCAGGATATCTCTACCACCATGTTCGTTTTATAATTACTTATTTTTAATCGGTATCAGAAAATACGATGGTAGTAGACAGAGGACTCCTTGGTTCTTCTATCTCTTACAACTGTCAGCCTGAAACTAACCCACCAAATCAGGTGGCCTTGGATGAGTCAATCGCTGCCCTTTTACGCAAGAAACTACACTAACCATGACCATTTCTATAACATCTTATGTACAAACTTTTGAAAGACCTAAACACATACACTGTCTTCCTACTTTCAACAGTATTCACATACAAGTTCAATTATTTAAAGACCGCCGTCATATAACTGGAATATTGCTGAGCGGCGTTAAACAACAAACAAACAAACAAATGCTGCAATTGATCGGTCAGTTTCTCTCACAAACGGACAGCAAGTGGCAAGATATCAACATTTTATGAGAGCTTCAAAGTTCATCAACCTACCAAGCAAACACACGGGCACATTTATCTTTTTCTTCAGGATGTACGATACGTATTACACAAATGTACAGGGGAATCAGCAGTATGAGGTATCAATGGTTAAATTTAGCGCGGCAATTTAAGCTGCGTCTCTAATTTTGCCCTTAATAGTTTTATACACATCATTGACACGGGTCGTGGACGATTCAAATAAAAAGCAGCGACAAAACTCTTTTCTATAACCATAAGAAATCTTGTGTAGGATCCCGACTATATCACGAGCAAGTGTTGATGAATCACTCAATAACTCGATGTATTTCTTTATTTTTAAAGAGACGGCGTTGTACAGCATCATGCGACGAAACATTATCCACTAGTAGATAATATTGTTTGTTTGTCTGTGTTATACGCCGCAATCAGCAATATTCCATCTATATGACGGCGGTCTGTACATAATCGAGTCAGGACAAGACAATCCAGTGGTTGATATCATGAGCACCGATCTATGCAACTGAGATACGATGACATGCATCAACCAAGTCAGCGAGCCTGACCACCCGATCCCGTTATTTGCCTCTTACGACAAGCATAGTCGCCTCTTACGCAAGCATGGGTTCCTAAGACCTATTCTACCCCAGATCTTCACGGGTCTACTAGATAACACAGAGAGGAGACCATGGATGCCAAAACGCAACCACGCAACTGTATAAGTAGTCTGAGAACGGCAGTTTTGATTCTGTACCAAGTAATGTCCTCGCGTCCCGGGACCTATACGAGAAATAACGATCCGCGGTTCTTGTATATTGTACAATAAAACACTGCAGGGATAATAAACCATCAGGGGCGCAGCAGTGTTTTATTGTACGATAAACAACGACCACGAGTTGTTTATTTCTTATTTGAGATATAAACATTATGTACAGCCACTTTAGGGATGTTAGTAAGAAGTACAAGCTTTAAAGATATTTACCCGTATTTAAATAATGAAGACTCCCAGAATTGAATCCATTTTATGAGCAGGGGGGTGTGTGTGTTTAAATTTGCGATTTCGTTTTATTACCTTTGTAAAGCTACATCTACAGGAACAGCTCAGTAGACGTGTCTAAAAAAAACGTCCAATTTACGACGTCGTCAAGTCGCGAGCGCATGTTCGAATCTCCAGAAATGACGTCATGATAGAACAATGTTTGGTTTTTTTATCGTGAAATAAAAAACGTTTTTTCTTTTTGACAAGTTGTACTTGTACCCAGGTTCAGTTTAGAATATATTAAGAGAACAATGACAGCCAAGTTTACCTTCAATATACATACAAGGGTATAATGTAGCTCCCAAAGTCTATAATACTATGAAATATGAATGAAATATTACTAATTTATATCCATGTGTTGTTATCAGTGTTATAACATGGCCAATCACCAACTGATCTGAACGTAACACCGACCTTCAACTTGTGGACATTTTGCATTGCATGCAATACATGAGTGACAGGAATTTAATCAAATAATATCGCATAATGCAACCGACTCTACCAATCTCATTAAACTCCGATCTTCGTGCTCCCTACCTCTACACAAGGAACCGAGGACATCCCACTACAGAGCACGTCAGAACCACCTTTAAACCAATCTATTTTCTTTGCCAATTATTTGCTCTGTAACCATTACGTTTCTCCAATATTTTTAATTCTGTAATAGGCTAAGGGGAAATGCAATAATAATTCAAATAACTAGTTGCAGTACATCGCTATCGCCTTTCAGATCCATCAGCGTTATCAATTGATTCCGCTGCAGCAGCCATCTCATTTCCCAGTGGGCTCAAAAACAGCTGACTGGGCCTGGCGACTGATATTTAATATATTCTCTGATGGGTACGTCATATATAGGCGAACCGCCGGCAAACGATGGATTTTACCTTCGCAAAAGCTTACTTTTTGCTGAAACCTGACATCATAAAATGGACAATCCATTACCGCTCCTCCTTCTACAAAGAACCGGAGATGTGTATTTCGATTTTCTGTCATTTAGAAACATGAAAGCCTGCAGTAATTTGTGTTTCGTTAAGACTGTTGACTTTTTTGCGCAATTCCTACCAGGTCATAGTCTTTGTGTCTTGATGTATGGTAAACTGGAAATTTAAATCATTTTTATTGAATATTAGGAATCGTCAGACATGGTAATGTGTTGGATTAATTTGGTTAATGTATTTGTTTTGTCGCCCCACTCAGCAATGTGACGGCAGCCTGTGCAGGGCAAGTCCAGACAACCCAGGGATTGCAATGAGCAAGCACCTAGGCTGTCAGGCTACCGCTATCAACAAGGTCACCAATTCAGACACCCTGATCCATTAAGTGAGTGTGAGTGAGTTGGGTTTAACGCCGCATTTTAACATTATTCCAGATATATCCCGGCGTGTCATCTTAATGTGGGAGGAAAGCCCGAAGTGATGCAGGTCTCAGATGTTTACCACTTCGGTGAAACCCACGAGTACGGGTATGGTGCTGACAAACCTAGAAACAGAATCGGGGCGAACCGGGATTCGAACCCACAATCATAGGTTTCTGGTGGCCCAAGGGACGCAACTCTGCACAGCGAATTGATCCATTAAGTCCCGTAAGACAAGCATATGTAGCTAGGGACCCTTTCCAACCCGGAATTTCCATAGGGTTTATTAAATGTGACACACATCAATAATATCCTACGTGTCTGTCGGAGGTAAGACCAAAGCACACATTTTCACAATGTCCCCAAAATATTCATAATCCTTAACTATTTTTGTTCAGTTTATATCGATTTTCATAAATGTTGAAGGGTTCAGTGCTTTTGTCCAATTTGGTAGAGTCTATTGCATTCAGCATTCGTGCGATCAAATCGGCAGTTCAGTAACGGACGATTTGACGCTGATTTTATAAGTTCTGGGAGATATCACGAGATCACGAGTGAGTGAGGTGGGTTTATCGCCGCTTTTAAAATACTCAAGTGTCAACTCTATGGATGAGGAAAGCAAAACGTGACGGAGCTTGGAGAGGTTTACCACCACAGTCAAACACTGTTGTGTCGAAGTTGAATCGACCTACTTACATACTTCGAGTTATCCGAGGTTCGACACAACCGAAATTGATGAATAACGATGGAATACTAAGGGACCAAGCTTTTGCTGCGAGGCAACCAACGTATCACACATCAAAGTTCGCCACAACTTATTTGACTGTATTTTGAAACCGGCCAGCAAGGTTAGACATGGTCTTGTCTCCACACGAATGAAATTGGCAGAACCTATTTCAAACATTTTGTTTTCTTTTTCTGTGCCCGACATGGGTACAATTGTCAATATGTGAAGCCCATTTCTGCACACACACACACACACACACACACACACACACACACCCGCCGTGATATTGCTGGAATATTGCTAAAGCGGCGTAAAACCACACTCACTCTTTTTCTGTGTCACATATTATTCAGAATTTAAGCTGACATAAGCTGGGGTGATTATCTATATAATGGGGCGGTCGGGTAGCCTAGTGGTTAAAGCGTTCGCTCGTCACGCCGAAGACCGGGGTTCGATTTTTTCCCGACATGGGTACAATGTGTGAAGCCCATTTCTGGTGCACCCCCCTCCGCCGTGATATTGCTGGAATATTGCTAAAAGCGGCGTAAAACCATACTCACTCACTCACTATCTATATAATGTCATGATATCTATTGCTGATGAGCGACTGGGCGCTACGACATCGTCCGTGTGAAGTGTGTTACCTTGGTAACCTGCACAGTGCCCGTCATACCACTGGCTGCCATGTAGGTAGGCCCGACCGTCTTGATCTTACATATGGAGGAGAACCGACCTTGCAACAGCAGCTGCAAAGAGATTCAGACATGGAATTATGACGCTAACTACAAGGCCACCTGTGTACCCCCGGGGATTTAACAAAGAGAAACAAAGAAGAATTTAGATCATACAGATTTTGACCAACGATCACTCAGAGGCCTATATGTCAAGATCACTATTAAAAGTCAATGTTTAAATAGGTGAGTTATCAGTGTTTAAATTTTAATGTAGTTAAGATATTCTTATTATTATTATTTTGAGTAAGACTCAATCTCATTAAAATCAGATCTTTGTTCTAGCTACCGCTAAACAAAGATCTGAAGACATCCCATTAGGGGTCACGTCAGAACGACATTTCATCCGACCAATCAGAGCGTCGCTTACCAGGTTATGAAAGTGACAGTCGGAATATGATTTCTCATCATGCAACCTCGAAATCTTTATTCCGAACGATAGTTACGGGTTTAACGACTGAATCCATACAATCTAGCCCATCTATTAGCCATTCCAGAATGTTCTTTTGTTCAGGTTTCAAATTTGTAATCGAGAATTTGTCAAAATATGTTTCGAAGCTTAGTCGCAAATTTGAAATTAGTGCCGTAGAGCAGGAGAAAGCTGCCTTCTGATTGGTCATTCCATTGGTCGGTCAACGTTCGCGCAAGGTCGGTCTGACGTGACCCGTAATGGGGTGTCCTCAGATCTTTGTTTAGCGGTAGCGAGAACTAAGATCTGATTTTAATGAGATTGAGTGAAACGACAATTACATTCTTTGCGTCAGTACATGTGGAGTGCCATGTTAATGTAACGTTATACTTGATGCACATGTGTGTATTGACAGCCACAAGCTAGAAAGTCATCCCCCGCCAGTCTCATATCCCACCTCGTCGTAGTCGGAGATGATTTCGTTGAGGAACCGGAAACATTCTAGACCATTGTTGTTGACGGCACTCTCGTTGTAGAAGTCGTGAAAGTTGGGACAGGCTGCGAATATCACCCCGACCTCGTCGTAGGCGTTGCTGTACAATTCCTGTAATACAACACACGGGGATGCCAGTAGACGTAGTAGTAGTAGTTGTAGTAGTAGTAGAAGTAGTAGTAGTAGAAGTAGTAGTAGTAGTAGTAGTAGAAGTAGTAGTAGTAGAAGTAGTAGTAGTAGTAGTAGTAGAAGTAGTAGTAGTAGTAGTAGTAGTAGTGGTATGAAAAACATGAAAATCCTAATTGGGTATATGTAAAATCCGTAGTAATGAATGTGCCTATGAGTATGTTTGTCATAATTAATGCGTACCCAATAATCTAGATTCGTTCCAATTTTCTGTACACCTAATATTAAAGGATATCTACTGACAAAAACGGTCATCTGAAGTTTTCTGTTCAGAACTATGTAATTATTACAATCATTTTAAGACAAATATTTCCCCAGAATACTACTTGTTTGATATCAATTTTAAAAGATTTAGAATAGCCTCGGGACAATTTAGATGCAGCTCTCCTAGACTTATGATTGATGTCATCTTCCCGAGGCAAGAGTGGCCACTAGCTTACACCAAAGTGTGAAAAGGTGTGCAAGGGCGCTCTTTGGCCAATGTTTCAAATAAAAGGCATAGCAAGGCAAACAGAAGACTAATAAATCTATTAGTCCATATCATATTGTCCATCGCTCTTATGACATTATTTTCCCAAATAATATGCAAAGACTAATTTCTATGAAGGTATATCGACATACGTCATCTTTCTTTTGTGAACCCAGGAAGTCCTTTGCCACGTGACCCGGAAGTAGATTGTAGACGAGAGCCTCGTTTTTCATCCTGAGCAAGGTCACCTGTTCTTTCTGCTTGTCGGCAACTTCCGCCAACAGGAACAGGCGCCGGGAGGTGGAGTCCGTCTGGGGGAGATAACCCAAGTGTCTCTACAATGTGTGTTGGTTTTTAGTTTAACGCCGCACTCGGCAATATTCAAGCTATATGACGGCGATCTGTTTATAATCGAGACGAGACAAGATAATCCAGTGATTGACATCTTCGCAATTGGGATAGATGGCATGCAATGACCTACGTCACCGAGCCTGACCACCCGATCGCGCACACGCACACGCGCGCGCACACACACACACACACACACACACACACACACACACACACACACACTTCCCCCACCTCCACGGGTCTCTACAATGGTCTCTGCCCTCAGATGGTAACTGTTACAGACAAAGAATACATCCACACGTATTAGTGTGGTAGGAGAGCCTGGTCGTTAACGTTAACCACGTTGGAAACAAATAACGAGTACGGGCATGGTGACAGACCTAGACTCATAATCAGGCCCAGTCTGGGGTTCGAATCCACGATATGAAGATGCGTACAAGGTATCAATGCAACAACAACACATGAATCCATGTCCCTCTAACATACCCGCCTGCCGAAATAGATGACAGCCACAGCAACAGCGATCAGAGCTGCCGTCAGTCGGAACTTGGACGGCGGAACCGTGTTGTCTCTGGGAGAGAAAGAAGGGGGGACACCCAAGGTATTATTGTCTTCTTAATGCAGTAATGCAACGTCAGGTCGGGTTGGTGTAATATTACGAACCTTACCCTACACAGTACAACCTCTTGAATACGTAACAGCGATGTTAAAAAACAAACCGTAATAACTTCGTAATAACTGCCGGGCAAAACAAAGTACATTAAAGTACGGTTATAACGAACTGAAAGGGACTACTAAGTTTAGTTCGTTATAACCGTAGTTCGTTATAAGCATACATACAGCATAACTACAGCAAATAGTCGGGACCAAAAAAGTAAGTTCGTTATATCCGCCAGTTCGTTACAACCGTGTTCGTTATAACCGTAGTTTACTGTATACAGATTGATTTGACCCCAAAATGTAGAACTGAGAACATTTCTAGGCTGAAATCAGTCGCCGAAACACTGCAAACTTAAGGTCCGAAACACAACCATGATACCCGTATCAAATACATCATCATAGAATAACCATTTCTTGTTTGATTCATTTCCATCCACCATCAAACAAGGGTGTGTACTTTCTTTCGACAGGTAATTTATGTATTATTTATATCATTACATCTTTAAACTAACCATAACGCTAAAGTGGCTTGTATGCATATAAAATTCATATATGTTTATTATTACAGTTTTGCTGTATTTTATGGATTTAGGAATCATCCTTGATTACCCCGTATTTCATTCTATTATGTTATATACCCTGGACCCAATCACAACTATAGCTGCAAGCTTCATTCCGGAAGTGATGTTACCATCCTAATCTGTCATCACGACAGCATGACAAAGCGAGGCGAATATTGGTGTCATCGCTGCTTGTTTCAATTATAATTAGGCCTGCGTCAGCAGTCACTTTTAGTGATTCTGGCAGTGCTTCACGTGCAATTCGTTCAGATCACTCATCGGCGACATAGGATTTAATCAACATTATACTTGTCCTTTTTGACGAATTTAGTAAAGATTTTTGTATGTTGACTTGTCATGGGTACCTGTTCATGTTGTACTGCATGGAAATGTCTGTATGTTTGTTTGTTTGTTGTTTAACGCCGCATTCAGCAATATTCCAGCTATATGACGGCGGTCTGTAAATAATGGAATCTGGACCAGACAATCAAGTCATTGACATCCACGCAATTCGGATCGATGACATGCATCAACCAAGTCAGCGAGTCTGACCACCCGATCCCGTTAGTCGCCTTTAACGACAAGCATCGTCGCCTTTTACGGCAAGCATGGGTTGCTGAAGACCTATTCTACCCCGGATCTTCACGGGCCTGCATGGAAACAAGAGGGCTGATAATTTTGTGTTCTAACATTTGATGAGTAGGAAAAGGATGACAAAATATCAACTGCATAATTAGATAGTTTGTTTGTTTGTTGTTTAACGCCGCACTCAGCAATATTCCAGCTATAATATGGCGGTCTTTAAATAATCGAGTCTGGACGAGACAATCCAGTGATTGATATCATGAGCATCGTTCATAGTAATTGGGATACGATGATATGCATCAACCAAGTGAGCGAGCCCGACCATCCGATGCCGTTAGTCGCTTCTTAAAAGCAAAGTCGCCTTTTACGGCAAGCAGGGTTGCTGATGACATGTTCCAACCCGGATCTTCACGGGTCGGGCACATTTCTCGGCGGTATTATGCTAAACAGATATTGCTCACCTTTCATACTGGCTGTAGACTGAGATGTCGTAACTGTCAAACAACTGCGCCATTACAACGATATCTAATACGCAGTACAGGGTTGCTATGGATACTACTAACACCAGTTTCACAAACTGTCCAATCTGCACGAGACTTGCAATCCCGATGAGAACCAGACTTCCGGTATGAATAAAATACGGCGGGTATTTACACGTGGGGTCAGAAGGCTGCATCCATTTGGCGCTCGTGCTGTTGGAATGATTGGTAATGGCACACCCGAACTAGGAATGGAGAGAAACACAAATCAAGTTAACAATAGATGCACTTAAAAACAGGCCTCAAAGTTTATTTTTTTACCAAGTAGCCATATGGCTACAAGTATTTGTTTGGTAAAATTAGGAAGCCAAGCCAATAGTGTAGGTAGCCAAAAGCATTTGAAATTATCTTTTATCAAATAACTATTATATGTACAAGTCAAAGCACTAGTCTTGGTATTGTATATCAGTGGAAACTGTACTTGAGTTTTGTTATTTGTGACTGGAACAATGATGCGATTTATGTGACTAGATTATATAGGTATATCCTTGCTTATACTTACTTGTTTATAATAAAATACTAGTTACATTAATATTTATGTATTTCGGTTCATTTTTTTACTTTAGCATGTTTAGGGGGAATTATTTGCGAGTACAATTAGTAGCAGACATGTTTATGTTCGTGTCTATGTGTAGCAATAGAATTAAGTCGCCACAAGATATGTTTCAAGGTCGTCATTTGGCCACCTCTGAATTTTAGACAGTAGACAAATTGAAATTTAGGTCGAATTGGCGACAGTTTTAGTTGCAACTTTGAGGCCTGAAAAATGGTTCTACATTGATAGAAAATATACCGGATGAATATGTTTGAAAATAACTGAAAAAATATTATTAGTTTTCTTCCGAAATTCGTTTATGTACGTGCCCGAGACCAAATGTGAATGAGTTGTGGGTCAGACCGTTCTGACCTGTACCTTAGATATACCACGGCCTCATCAGTAATGTCACAGAAAACGACAAAATAGCCTCTTAAACATATTTAACGACCACGGTAAAGTGAAGGAAAATATTAACACAACGGATCAGCGGATCCTGGTGTGGCTGAGGAAGGTTACTCTGCACTACGAATGTGTGGCCCTTATCAATTTGGCCACACGTGATCCGGGGGGGTGAGCCCCTGCCTTTCAAGGAGGGGTCCTTTTTCTCAGTGAACGACTGGTCCCCAAATTAGTTTGTGCATACCTGATATGCTACCATTGAATATCATGAATCTCCCACGATTATTAATAATGCAGCAAATGAAATAACTAGAGTTTCATATCCAACAGTTTAGGAAACAAACCATATGGCACATTGCCATTCGATAATCGTTGTATTGTTTACAAAACTAATCAGATAAATGCCCATCAAGATATCCATCCCGGAAGGGGACCAGTACTCAACACAATGTCAGATATGGATCGCAGGAAGTACCGTGTGTGCCACTTAGACTCGCTCTATTCCGTTACCCACAACCTACATAATATCTGGGTCAGTAAAAGAGTACTGTATTAATTTGTATATTTCACTGTACACCTTTTAAGGACGAATGTTGCAGTGTTTTGGCGACTGTTTTCTATATATACTCCAAATTCGATTTTTCCTCGTTATAGCTTAGATTGTTTTCCCGTACTTTCGATTTTTGTTTTCTTATTTCAAATATTTTCTCGAAATTACAATTTATTTTAAAAACTTGAAATTACAATTTATTTTAAAAACTTGAAATTTCGAGTTGTTTCTCGTTACTTTCTCATTTTTCGAATATTTTCTCGTTATTTCAAATTTATTTAATAAACTCGAAATCTCGATTTTTCGCTCGTTATTTCAATTATTTTATCGAAACTTCGATTTCTTTTCTCGTTACTTCGATTATTTTTACGTTATTTCAAGTTTATTTCAAAATACAAAATAATTGAAATAACGAGAAATTAATCGAAGCAACGAGAAAAAAAAGAAAAAATTGAAATTTTTCAGATATAATTGAAATAACGAGAAAATATTTGAATTAACGAGAGTAAAAATTTAGAGTAATTTCGAAATAATCGAAGTAACGAGAAAGAACTCGTAATATGTTAGAAAAAAATGAAATAACGAGAAAGTTCGATTTAAAAAAATAAATAATGCTACCAAAGTGGCACCATTAGGACTTTCGTAGTTTTCAGCCTGGTAACGCTATGATAACGTTCATAAGTTTTGGTGAAATCTAGTTTTCAAGCGTATACACTTATAGGTCAGGCTGTTTATATTTCACTACCAGGGATTGGTGTGAAGGTTGTAAAACTATTTTTATGATTTTTTTGCCAATGACAGCTGTAAATCCTATGTAGCGCACTTGGGCAGACTTTCTAAGGGATGATCCGTTGCTCCCAGTAGTGACATATCACAAATATACAATGTATAAATATGCTGACATATAACTGATATACTTATATACTGACATATAACTGATCTGCTATATATATTAATATACTGACATATAACTGATATACTGACACATAACTGATATACTGACATATAACTGATATAATAATATACTGACATATAACTGATATACTGACATATAACTGATATACTGACATTACTGATACGCTAATATACTGACATATAACTGATATACTGATATTATGACATAACACTGATATACTGACATATACATGACATACTGACATAACTGATATACTGATATTATGACATTTAACTGATATACTATGTATTGATATATTGTCATGTACCTGATATACTGATATACTAACATATAACTGATATACTGATGTACAGACATATAACTGATATACTAACATATAACTGTTTTATTGACTTAAAACTGATATACTGACATATAAATGATATACCGATATACTGACATATAACTGATATACTGACATATAACTGATATTGTGAAATATAACTGATGTACTAATATACTGACATATAACTGATATACTGACATATAAATGATAAACTGACATAAATAACTGATATACTGACATATAAATGATACACTGACACTGGCATATCAATTATATACTGACATAACTGATATACTGATATTATGACATACCACTGATTTACTATGTATTAATATATTGACATACACCTGATATACTGGAATATTACTGATATACTGACATAACTGGAATACTAATATTAAACGATGAACGGATGATGGGGACATGACAACCGCAGCGTATAGTTCGTGCAGGGTTTAATGATTTAAAGAACAGGTATACAATTTAATATCAAGCAAATTTAATATAAGAGTAACACCTGTCGACAGATTGTGTAAATGTGATTGCTACGTGTGATGCGTGTGAAACTGTAAATCTAGTTTCAATATGCATTTCCAATAATGGCCGCGATTACAACGAGATTGAGGTTAGCGAGTGAGGCCACACTGAATGTGATAATTGTTTGACGGAACCGAAGTGGACAATGTCGTCATCTAACCAAGCCTTCTAATTATGTCATTGATCATCAATAAACCTTGATCAATAAAATAACAATATGTGTTTATGAAGGCAGCGTGGCGTTACGTCACTGTTATATTTGTGATGAAAATCCCGAGTAATTGGTCACATATAAAACGTTATATTATTAATAGAACGTCAGACATGACGCATGTGCTGTTGGTGACCTTGTGACCTCTTCATGAAACGTCCGCCGGAACACTTTATTTTTTAATTACACGAAGTACCTAACAGTGAATTCTTTATTGCATGAACATGATTTAAACCGGGAAAATATTTTACGTAATCCATATATGATCATATGAAGTTGAAACATTTAGAATTACTTAAACTGACGTCTATGCATACATTGTAAAAACCGAGTTAGTAGAGTTGTGAATCCATAGGCTGAATTTAATATTACATGTGTATTTGACTCTCGCGATAGTGGTGTTGAATATAAAAACTTTGTTGTCTTTTATTTGTTTATTTATTTTTTATTTGATGTAAATGTTAATGCCGTAGTTGTTTATGAAATCGTGTTGGTAAAGTCACGAAAAAAGTTGAATTTGTTTTATGTGTTTATATATTCCAAAACGTAACGTGTCACAGGTGATATGTCTACATTTAGAGTCTGTGAATGTTGTTTTATGCCGTTGTCAATGTTATAGCTTTGCCATTATAGCGTCTGATCAGCCAAATTGGTTGTCGTTGGTATAAGGACGGGACTATCAAGCTAATATTATATACCTACAAACTCGCTTTTCGGCCTAATCTGCGAGATTGTTAGTCTGGAATATTACGAGCTACACTGTCAGCCATTTTCACCATCCGATCCTCATTTCCGTCGATCCTTACGTTAAGTGAGTGAGAGTTGGGTTTAACGCCGCTTTTAACAGTATTTCAGTTATATCACGGCGTGTCAGCTTTATGTGGGAGGAAAGCCCGAAGTGATGCAGGTCTCAGACGTTTACCAGTTCGGTGAAACCCACGAGCACGGGTATGGTGCTGACAAACCTAGAAACATCATCGGGGCGAACCGGGATTCGAACCCACAATCATAGGTTTCTGGCGTGCCCAAGGGACGCAACTCTGCACAGCGAATCGCGGCGCCTTAGACGACTGGGCCACACTGGTAAACACTTACTATATCTACAACATCGGTTGCGGTGAGAAGCAAGACCAGGAACCCAGTCCAAAGGATCCGGGGGACAATATTCTTTTCCACTCTCTCAGAGAAGCGCAATAAACAACCGGGACATGAATTCTGAAAAAGTACATTAATAATCCATATTTCATATTCATAAAATAACTGCTAATTTCAGTGACGCGAGCACAAGATGGATAAGATATGATGTGTGGTATGCCACGACAAACTTTAGTACGTCTTACAAACTTTACCTTGGTTGATGCATGTCATCTATCCCAATTGCGTGGATCGATGCTCATGATATCAATCACTGGATTGTCTGGTCCAGACTCGATTATTTAAAGACGGAGGTCATATAGCTGGAATATTGCCGAGTGTTGTGTTAAACAACAAACAAACAAATACATACTTTACTTACTACATTGTTGTTGACAGCCAACGTGAAAGTTGTCATAGCTACCAGCAAGAGCATTCCGATGATGAATGAGTAAAGGGCATAGAATGTGCTGAAAAAGAATTGATGTTTTCAAAATGTTGTCAGTAAAATAAAGTGGGAATATGCGCTGAGATTGGTCGTATTTGTCCGATCCCGCATTTATGAAACATTTTTTGGCATGCCCTGCCATAATAAATGTCCCTTAATATCCATATGCTCAGAGGACACAATGTATAGATTCATATCTTCAACACCTGGTGCAGTTTTACCAAAAATGAAAAAAAAGTTGTTTAAAAAAGCATCTTGTTTTACTTGTGCCAAGTTTAGGGTAGATCTAACGTGTTAAAACAATGAACTCATGGACTTGATATGGTCTTGTTTCCGTTCATCTTCTCGAGGCAAGCCTAGTTTCCACCCTTCTACCACTAGATCTATAGAATGTCAGACTGACATGACCTGGACACACTCTGAACACACTTTAACTATGACTGCAGCATCTGACACTCCGACAAATCATTCCGTCAGTCTATGCGAAAGGTCTTCAGCATCTCAAATTGAGACTCAGGTGATAGCCCCAGCTACACCAGCCCCTGAAATACCAGCTACTGTCAAACCAAAAACTGAAAGGTCCAAGAAACAAAACGAAAAACACAGGAAAATTACAACTACTTTTCTTTTTTCTTTTTTTTCTTTTCTTTTTTTTGGGGGGGATGACAAGACTTTGATAAAAAGGCTAGTGGAAGCTCTTGCCTCGGGAAGATGGTTTACGTTGTGCAATACAATTATATTCTTACACAGGCAAAACACAAAGTCGGGCCAGAAACGTGAACAATGCGACCAAACACAACCCCACTGAAGCCATGTCGCTGAACCTTTCTCGTCTGCCCTGGTAACGAGACTCCAACTTCCGGTCAGTAAAGCGCATGCTCAGATGATACAGTTGCTTGGATACACCCCTGTGAAAACATCAACGAAGAGCATATTAATATTTAAATGAATTAACGGGATCAGCAAGTGTCAAACGTATGTTATATCACCCCCCGCGTGCAACAAACAGCCAAGCTCTTCAGCGATTAGGACCAAGCTACCTGATATCGCTTAACTCATTGGGTTTATGTTCAATTACGATTTCTATTTCGTTCAATGGTCTGAAGCATAAATATTTTTTTCAAGAAATTTCTGGATTTTATTTTATTCGATAACCTGATCTCACAGAATATGAACTTGATCAATCTCGCTGGTAACGTTCCAGTGTTGACAAGAGCCTGTTACCCGCAGTCCGTGACTAACCGCGTGCTGATCAATCAATTAACCAGCAGCAAGAATTTTTTCTAATATACACTCAGCTGAATACGGAAGACTGCCCACACAAAAAGAACCTGTAGATGGAAACACCATATGGTCACTACGCCCAACCCCTCTCTACATAACACGAATGCCTCACGCGTCATTGTCTCTCTCCAGTAGTGCCTCTTGAAGTCGTTGTTCCAGGTTTTCCCCATCATCCCCGAAATCACCGTCATACCGCTGACCAGATGGCTGAAAATGCAACATTATTTCCTGATAAGGCGTAAGCCAAGCCGAACGACACCGTTTCTATTGAAATGACATGCATGTAGCCCTATCAAATTCCCTTAACGTCCAGACTATCGTGGTTTTATTGTGTATATTGATAAGTTGTCATTAGGAAAAAAATACGAAATTAGTTCTAGACCGAACATGTTTCAGGGCTTCAGAACATGAAATGTTTTCTCTAATACAGGAGTCGAGTAGCCCCTGTCGTTATTTCTACGGATACGACACGCTTTCATGTTTGAGAAGAAGCTGATGTTTTTGAAAGTTCTAGATATCAGACAATATCTCCCTACACCCGTCCTTACCTCATATGTGTTCATGGGGATGCCATCCTCCTCTTGTTCCAATGTCGGACCCTTTCCAGGAGATCCTGTCTTGGAGAAGCCATTCTTATTGGCGTTTATGTGGTTGTCGTTCTTGAAGGCAGTACCGTTAACTTGGTCTGGTTCAAGCTGAAACACAGTCAATTTCCACGATTTCCTTACTCCTTACTGTCATACTCCTTAACTCATCCTAGATATGATGTCTTAATCAATTGTAAACAGATTTCACTACATTTTCATCTGTCAAAACACATGTACATTACATTAATAACTAGAACAGAAATGTAATGTTATTCAATATCATGAGGCATGTGTAATGTAATATAATTGCATGATCTGCATCCATGTAATATGGGTTGTATGGCCTTGAAAACGATAAACTGAACTGAATAATTGTTCAACAGATGTTCAAGAATACGTATATCCATTCCATGCACCTCATCTACAAAAAAGGGACCGTAAAGATCCGGGTTAGAAAACGTCTTCAGCAACCCATGCTTGCCATAACAGGCGACTATGCTTGTCGTAAGAGGCGACTAACGGAATCGGGTGGTCAGACTCGCTGACTTGGTTGATGCATGTCATCATATCCCAGTTGCGTAGATCGATGTTCATGATGTCAATCACTGGATGGTCTGGTCCAGAATCAAAACAAAACATCTACTAAATGTGTGGGTGACAGGTATAGGTTTATGCAACGATCCAGCCTTATCACGCTGAGGGAAACAATTGTGTGTTTTAGACCCAAATATAAAAATATAAACCCTGATATGCCAGTCCACGTGGCAATGTACAGGGACATGTAAAATCGTGGACAATCAACATGAATAAATGATGTCAAAAAAAATTATTTAAAAAACAACAACAAAAAACAACAACAACAACAACAAAAAATTGTGTGTTTTAGACATATACCCGTTTTGGGAATCGAACCCAAACCCGGATCCTAAGTTTTGTTTTGTTTGTTTGTTGTTCCTAAGTGTCACGTCATTCACAAATGTGCAGCCTCATCGTATAACTTGTAGTATACAGTGCAAGGTGTGAAACCTGACAGAAGATGGTTTAACGTCAAACAGAGGTGACCAGTTACCGGTTTAAGGACTGACTTGACGAGGTACGTCTTGAGGCCCAGGAGACGGATGTAGTCTTCTCGCTGGGCGCCGTGGCCCACTTCTAGCTCAAACTCGTCGTGGAGGAATGACTTGGTAGTCTCCGAGATGTGCACCCGCCTGGACAGAAAGTCTGACGTCACATGTCATGCGCACACGTGCAACACATTTACAGAATGACAAGGGTTTTAGATCATGTATAAAAATTATTTCCCCGGGTATTCTTTTCCATTTGAACAAAAGTATTGACATTGAAAGAAAATGTTGAAAATTTTGAGGCTGCATGAGCAGTCTATAATGGAATAACACTGAATGTTTTAGACCACAGCTTGAAAACTCTCACTGCTTTTTCATTAAAAGGAGGTACTGAACAATTCTTCTTTTTCCGTTTTACTTATTTACGGAATTTTTAGGAAAAAACTTCTTAGGGTTAATAATAGTGAGGACAAATATTTTGACTTTAATTATTGTTATCACAAACCATCATGGCGGAACCCTAATAGGTATACGGTGCCCACGTCACCAAGGGAAAACATGACATCGATCATTTTGTGTCATATGTCAATAAAAAAACATAAAACCCCTCCACTATGGATAAATAAGCCGACAAATATCTAATCAATTTGCTGCTAAAAATCAATCATACCCAATAGAGTAATGGCTCCGGATAAGTAATTACGGCAGTAAAGACATTTGGCTAAGGATATCAATATCAAGACTTGCAACTTGGACAAACTAAATACTTCCTTCTTCCAACACGAATTTGTTTAATATATTTATATAAATATAAATGTCCCCACAAGTGTCCGCGTCCACTTCGTTAGCGAAAACCGTGGCCATCTCCAGGTTGCTTGCAAAAATAAGGAGACAGGTCTACCGGAAGATGTAATTGGTATCGTTGGAAAGCTTGGACTTCTATGTCTGAATATCATAATCCACTATAACGAACACAAACGTACATCGCCCATACATTTATAAAACAAATGTCGTGTACATTACAAGTTGTATGGTATACAGTACAAAACACTTCACTGATTACGAAAGTATCAAGCGTATTCGTGTAACCTTGAATTTTTTACCTTTGGGGTTTTTTATGTGCATGTTTGTAGGCAGGCGAGTTATACAATCAGCCCCAAGACATATAAAACAGTAATACTTTAACGTTATCTTTGATTTTTAAAAATCTTAGACAGTCATTAAAAGTCCTGGTTACCATGGAAACGCCACCAAAACCCATATTGTAATCATATACTTGTATCAAATTTTAGTCAAGATTAGCTACAAAACCTATAAATGACATTTGACCTTTAAGATAATTATCCACACGTATTAATGACGCAGGGTACATTATTACATGAACACTTGTAAATATTATTTAGCGAGATTTGACATACAATTAAAATACATGGTTACCATGGGAACGCCCAAAATGTCATGTGTCTTAACATTTACTGTCCTGTAATACTTTTTTTTAACGTAGAATCTGCGGGGTTTCTTTGGATACCAAGTACATGGCTGTGTACTTCTAGTGTGCTCTGCAGTTAAGAATGATCCGAGATACAACACTGAATTTCAAGCAAGAATAGCTACAAATCCGACATGGGTCGATATAGCAGTGCTAAAAGCAACACAAACATGCTCAAAATTCCTAAAATACTGGTATCTATTCATAGTGAAGATATATCTATTCATATGTAGCTGTAGCGCTCTTTTCAGAAATTGCATGTATATCGGGAACACACACACACGAAAACACGCGACACGCACGCACGCACCTACACCCACCACACACCACACACCACACACCACACACACACCCAAACAAAGACATGACCCCTGACACTTTCAAGTCTGGCAACATTGGTTATGATAACTAAAAATAAAAGCTTTCCAAAGATACCACCTTGCAATAACTTCGGTAGACCTGTTCCAAATTTTGACACCAGAAACCACTAACACGTCCCATTTTAATTCTGGAAACCCAAAAGTCCAGAAACTCTACGGTCTTTGCCCAGTCTCGGTTAAAGGTATTTACAAAATTAAACATGCTGTTTTCATGGAAACATACCAAGGAAGAAAAAATGAAAAAAAATTTTTTTCAAAAACCAAATATTTACACTATGTCGCCCATGGGCCTGCCCATGGGCGAGAATATGTTCCTTTACCCAAAAGTAATCGTATTGAAAGAAAACAAGGGGCTCAAACTGAAGCATTTTTATTGTATTTTGTTAAGAAAATCCAAGTCAGAAGTGTTCGGTCCGACTTGGCCCGTGCTGTCAAAATCAAATTAAACCTCACAAATGTATCATCAAATGGATTCACATCTATAGATTAGTATTATATCTACCTAAATACCACTTTATAGTGTCTCAGATCGCTGTACTTAAAGATAACAAGGGGCTCAAAGTGAAGCCCTTTTCCCTCTACATTCTCAACATAGTCTCTATCAGAAGTGTTTGGCTTGTGTTGGGTCCGACTTGGCCCGGGCGGTCCAAATCGACTTTAAACACACAGATGTATCTTCAAACGTGTTTACATCTATAGATTAGTATTATACCTACCTATACACTACTTTATAATGTCCCAGAGTATCGCATTTAAAGAAATCTGAGCCGTTAAAGTCAAGCACCTTTACCGTATTTTCTTAATACAAAATGTCAAAATCAACTCAAACCTCACAGATGTATCATCAAATGGATTCACATCTATAGCTAAGTATTATATCTACCTATATATCACTTTTTAATGTCACGGTACATCGTATTCAAAGAAAACAAGGGTCTCAAAGTGAAGCCCTTTCCCCTCTACATTCTCAACATAGTCTCGATCAGAAGTGTTTGGCTTGTGTTGGGTCCGACTTGGCCCGGGCTGTCAAAATCGACTTTAAACACACAGATGTATCTTCAAATGGGTTTAAATCTATAGATTAGTATTAAATCTACCTATGTACCATTTATAACGTCACGGTACATCGTATTTAAAGAAAACAAGGTGCTCAAGGTGAAGCCCTTTCCCCTCTACATTCTCAACATAGTCTCTATCAGAAGTGTTTGGCTTGTATCTTCAACTCTGCACAGCGAATCGCGGCGCCTTAGACGACTGGGCCACCCGTGCCCCCGACACACAAGAGACTCAGTAACATTCACGCACCATTGGGAATATCAAAGTAAGTTTATACAGAAAACTACGGTTATAACGAATTCAAAGGGAACATTAATTGTAGATCGTAATAATTTAGTTCGCAAGACAATGGGCAATGGGCAAGCATCGTGTCCTGGAGATGATGGAATCAAATTTCACACCAACCGTCAACTATGGCAAAACTCAACGATCGTGTCAATTATGCAAGTGTCATAAATTTGACTTGGGGTGTGTTATTCATGATGCAGTGTAATATGATCTGGACAGTAAAGCAGTAGAATAACGTGCAACAAATTATTCATGATAATTTCCGTCGTTGTGTTCATGGCTATTCACAGTGACAAACATAAACAGACGGCAGACTATCGTTGTCACAACATAATATCCCCTTGTTCAAGTTGGCGATATAATTTATTCATCTGGAAGATATTGGAATTCAAACCACTGAGACTTACTCTACACTTCAGTGCATTTTTACAAAATAAATCATATGAAACCCATACCTATTGCTGATGTGATCTTGCAGACTCGAGTTCCATTTCAAATGTGTATCTTACTCATTCCAGAGAAAAAGTGTGTCAAGGTAAACACAACAGGTTCTCAGGATTTAGATTTAAGTCCCAAAAGGAACAGAGGCTGTGTGTGTTTTGACTAAACACGTTATGCCATTTAACACAAGGCGGGATCTCAATATCCCAAAATCTAAAATAATCCAAAAAAATTGTATTTATGTTAATGTTTTAATTCTTTAGTTACCGCGTCCCTTTCGCGCGTCAATGCGTTTATAGCAATTCCACTGTTGTAACAATCGTTATATCAAACTGGTGCAGAGTCTTGGGGAAATGTAATGACTGCAATACAATCAAGCATGTCAGAAGAGAAATGTCGTTCCTTTTGTGAAACCATTAAAGTCTGTAAGAGATCAATCACATATTCTTATTTGATAATATTTCTTAAGAAAATACAGTAAAAGAGCTTGACTTTAACGGCCCAGTTTTCTTTAAATGCCATACACTGTGACGTTATAAAGTGGTATATAGGTAGATATAACACTAATCTATAGATGTAAACACATTTGAAGATACATCTGTGTGTTTAAAGTTGATTTTGACCGCCCGGGCCAAGTCGGACCCAACACAAGCCAAACACTTCTGATAGAGACTATTTTGAGAATGTAAAGGGAAAAGGGCTTCACTTTGAGCCCCTTGTTTTCTTTATATACCGCGATCTGACACACTATAAAGTGGTATTTAGGTAGATATAACAATAGTCTATAGATGTAAACACATCTGAAGATACATCTGTGCGGTTTAATTTGATTTTGACAGCCCGGGCCAAGTCGGAACGAACACTTCTGACATAGATTTTCTTAAGAAAATACAGTAAAATGCTTCACTTTGAGCCCCTTGTTTTCTTTCAATACGATGTACCGTGACATTATAAAGTGGTGTATAGGTAAATATAACACTATTCTATAGATGTAACGCATCTGAAGATACATCTGTGTGTTTAAAGTTGATTTTGACCGCCCGGGCCAAGTCGGACCCAACACAAGCCAAACACTTCTGATAGAGACTATGTTGAGAATGTAGAGGGAAAAGGGCTTCACTTTGAGCCCCTTGTTTTCTTTAAATACCGCGATCTGAGACACTATAATGTGGTATTTAGGTAGATATAATACTCATCTATAGAAGTGAATCCATTTGATGATACATCTGTGAGGTTTAAGTTGATTTTGACAGCCCGGGCCAAGTCGGACTGGATTTTCTTAACAAAATACAATAAAAATGCTTCATTTTGAGCCCCTTGTTTTCTTTCAATACGATGTACCGTGACATTATAAAGTGGTGTATAGGTAAATATAACACTATTCTATAGATGTAACGCATCTGAAGATACATCTGTGTGTTTAAAGTTGATTTTGACCGCCCGGACCAAGTCGGACCCAACACAAGCCAAACACTTCTGATAGAGGCTAT